AAAAGAAGCTGCTTAGCCGTGAGCAATTTCACTTCTTCTGGGCGGAGTACATAGTTTCCCAAATGAGTGTTACGTTTGCGCATTAAGGGTCCGCAATCAGTTAGGATGTGCATAGGCGTTCCTTCCGTTATAGAACAGAACCGACACATCCTTGAATTGCGTAGTCCCAGGATGGACATGTGCTTTTTAAAACAATGTCCAGTTAGGGCTCTTGCCAGAATATGCAATTTATTTTTACGTAATCCCAGGGCTTCTGAAGCAAATTTACGATGAAAAGCCCAGATTAAGGTTTTAGAATGTTTTAAGCCTAGTGTGTCAGACCAGATCTTAAGTGATTTGTTGTGATAAATATTTTCAAGGGTCAATCGGGCTAGGCTTGAGATTCTATAAAATGGCTCGGGTCCAAATCTTGTACTCTGAGCCCTCCCGTGCAAATTTATCGGCACATTCATTGCCTACTATACCCGCGTGACCCATCTTAAGACCACCCTGTTATTACATCTCAGGGCGTTTAAACGGTTCACGCAGTCTCCAACCAGCTTCGATTTCACTGAGTTAGACATCAGCGCTAGCAGTGCTGCTTGACTATCAGAGGTTATAAAAATTATATGGTTGACGTAGTGTTTTTGCAGATTGATTTCCACACACTGAAGTATGGCGAAAATTTCTGCCAAGATATAGGTGAATCTATCCAAATTCATACTATGTTTGAATTTGAGGCGTTCCCCGTAAATTCCAAAGCCTACGTCGAGGCCCATTTTAGACCCATCGGTATACCATATGCGGCTACTGACCTCACGGATAACCTGACCATTCAGCCAGTTTTCTCTGAACGGGTAGTTCCACTACATACTTTTTGTCAAAAGTGTATAGTGTACGCATGATATCTGAGTTCATGCCTAAGACCGGTGTTTCCTTAATTGAATCAAACATGGACCTCAATCTGTAGGAGAGCAGGCTCCGACCACTCTGAGCGTTAATCCTATACAAACCAGCCTTCGCCTCTTTGTCTAGATAAAGATCGAGGGGCGTTAGGCATAGAAGTTCCTTAAGAGCCGCTCCAGGTGATGATCGCATAGCTCCAGTTGCCATTAAGCAGGCAGTCCTTTGTAGACTATTTAGTCTGTCCGCAGTCGTGTTTTGGTTGGCCTTGTTACACCAGACAATAGAGGCGCAGGTAAGAATCGGCCTCACTATGCTGCTGTACAGTCATATGACCATACTGGGACGCAAGCCCCAGTTGTTTACGACCAAACGACTGCATGTACCTAAAGCAATTTTTGCCTTATGGCATACGTTGCTAAGGTGAGAATTCCACATTAGTTTTTGGTCGATTGTTACGCCCAAGTACTTAACTTCAGTGGAAAATGGTACTTACCATTGAGTTTTGCTGTGACTAATTTGTCCAACCGTCTCTTTTTGGTAAAGGGTATTATAACTGATAAACTGTTATCCCTACACCAGTTATTTATGGTGTTTAGGGCTCTTTGTATGATTGACGATACTTTATCGGCTTTGGGAAAAGCACCTCGCAATGATCACAAGGTTATCAACATAACCCAGTGTGTCAATACGTAGGTCTACCATCTTGTACAATAGCTAGTCAACCGCAAGAGTCCAGAGAAGGGGTGACAAAACACATCCTTGTGGGCAACCTCTTGTAGTTGCAACCTCAATTGAAGTTTGAAGCAGCGCGATTTTTGCCTTTCTGTTTGAGAGCATCGACTTCACCCATCTGATGGTTATGGGGTCAACGTTTGTATCTACAAACTAACTGATTGCGGACCCTTAATGCGCAAACGTAACACTCATTTGGGAAACTATGTACTCCGCCCAGAAGAAGTGAAATTGCTCACGGCTAAGCAGCTTCTTTTATTCATTGAAGACATAGGGCTTAGCAGTGAACTATAGCCATAGCAGCGATCACAACACATATTTTAGGTCGCAGTGATACTGGTCTTCTTACCTAGACCTGCATAGCTGCTCGCACATAATAAAAATATATACCAACCAAGTACTTGGGCCAGTCGGGATCGAATCCAGTCCGAAAGAGAGGCTATGATTGAGCGTGTGAGTCTCACACTACAGGCAGTCTCCGAATGGGGCGATGCTAGTGTCGTGAGATTCAACGCCTCCAAAACACAAGCGTGTCTTTTCACCGCAAAAAGGAGCCCGCTCAGCCTGGCTCCTACTTTCCGGAATGTATCCTTGGAGGACACTGACCGCCTTCAGTTGTTAGGGGTTGAATTTTCTCCGCACCTCAACTATGAGCGCTTCATTGAGTCCAGAGCCAAAGCAGCCGCAAGGAAACTTGGTGTTCTTGCAATGGTGCGGCGGTACTTCACGCCGGGACTGCTTCTTACCATATATAAAGCGAAGTCCGGCCGTGCATGGAGTACTGCTCACGCATATGGGCTGGTGCTGCAAAATGCCACCTGGCAGCATTGGACTCAGTGCAGAGACGTGCTAAGAGGCTCATTGGTGACCTTGATTTGGTTGAAACCAACCTTGTCAGCCTCGAGCACAGGCGTAGAGTAGCCAGCCTCTCGGTATTCTATAGGATGAATTTCGGAGAGTGTGCGTAGGAATTGCTCGTTTTAATTCCTCCCATTAACCCCTTTGTTGTCGACATTCCACATTCCACACATTAGAACCAAACGGTTGACTTAGCCTTTTTTAATGCGTACAGCAAGAGTGGAATAATTTGCCGGCGTCTAACGTCTATCTTTCCGTCCGAATACAATCAGGGCGTCTTCAAGGCAAGAGTGAATAGGCATTTGTTGCACTAAGATATTGCGATTTACCATCTGAGGCACTACCACCAGGTGGGATTGGTGATTGGTGGTCAATAACAGACTTATAAAAATTAAAAAAGATATGAGTTTTCCATTTTAGGTCACTGGTTATTGTAATGCCAAGGTCTTTTTGTGATTCTATAGAAGACAATGGATCACCTAGATAATATATATTTCGTGGATTATTTTCCCCTATATGTAGAATCGTACACTTGTCTGCGTTAAGTGTTAGGAGCCAATCACTAGTCCAATCGCCGATGGTATTTATATCCTAATATTAACCTTTAAAAGCCTTAATAGGATATGTTACAAAATTAAATGAATATATGGGTTTTAACAACTATATTTTATTTAATACACCTGTTCATAACTCAATAGTATGTGGTTCAATATACAAAAATTATCAAATGCATAATATTAACATAACGCAGGCTAACTAACGGTACGATACAACCAGAACAGACAAACGCGACACTAATAAAAAGAACCTCTGCTTGAAGCTTAGGGTGGACAAGGCAAACAATTAAAAATAACACCAATTATACATAACACAAAGAAAATTACTATTTTATTGTAAAATATTGTTAGTACTATGTAGTGTAGTTGAAATATTCGCCATTAAAAATACACGAGATGCGAAACAGCTAGTTAGCTGTTAATAGTTATAAATAATAAAAATTAATGATAGTGCTTTGATAAGTTAGTTTTACTTTTAATGCTTCTCTGCTAGATAATTATAAAAGAAATCAATATTTATTGTACATATACTCTCAATGCATTTTACATACAATAGGTTCAATTTTTCTTTCATTAATTAATATTTTTATAATACATTACGACCACCCTAAGCCTCATTTGTTCCCAACAAAATACAAATGTGAATAAAATTGAGCACTCAATATATAAAAACGATATGGTAAAATCAATCTGTAACACAATTTGTATAAAAATACATTAATAGTTCAAATAATATGTCCCTAATGTTAAATTTAAGTAAAATTGATAAAAGCTACTGTTATGTAATTTAGAATTTGCTTTGGCTACATAAGGATAATTATAAGCTTTCCTTCTTACTGATAGTAAATAGACATACTAATCCTTAGATGTGTGTATGAGGAACTTTTATTTCCTTTTAAGAAAATTCAAGTAAATAGTTAAAACAAAAGGAAAACTGAGTGCTTCTATGCAATATCATTTTAAAAGCGACGTCACAAAACACAAAATAAGCAAAAATTTTCCACAGTGAATTTCCTAGAAATTGCTAGTTCTGCTTGAACTTTAGTTAATTTTCATAATTTTTACATTAAATGATAATACATCGACACCTCAATGGAAGACTATGCCATTGAAACAAACATAAAGACAAGTCAATAAATACAGGTTAAAATTGAAACTAATGTGTACCTTGCATGATACATTTATTCTTAATGAAATCGCTCTCCTATAGGCAATAAATAATAATAATTAGATCAACGGTCAAACCACATAATGCATCCATATAAAGTATGGCAAGCAAATGAATGTGAATTTACTGATTGTCAATGGTCCTTTAAGCTAGATGTATAATCATATTACGGACTCCAGCAGTCTTCCTATAATTATTTCCAAAGTTTACAACTGCACTTATCTTCTTGAACGATATGAAACACACCTATAAACTTCAGATATACAGCAAGTTTGTCTGCATTTCACCCTATAATTGTGTAAAGAAGACAATACATGATTCTTATCAAAAAATACGTCGATATACATTGTTTTAACAATATGTTATTATAGGGTTTTAAAACAAATGTTGTTCGTGAAATATTTTGAAGAATTCTTAGGTTTGGCCAGTTCGCCAGTCAATTATCCACTTCTGGACATAGAATTCTCTAAATTTGTGAGGAAAATGATGCAATTTTAAGTATGGTAAGGAAAAATTTTAACCAGTATTTCACAATCAACTCTCGTGAACAGATTTCTAACTATTAATATGAATTATAACATAATTAGTCACAAAAACATTTGCGGCATACACCACCGCATACTTCGAATGGAAATGAAAAGCCGATAATGTTAAAATTCAAAGCTATATACAGCGCGATCAGTGAATATACGACTTCATGAAAAACCTACATTTATCCGACTATAAAGCGTCAGTCTTCCACTTAAATGCCATCCATTCATAGAGTGAACAAAACTGTTAGGCCAGTGTCATCCCTGGACTTATAAAATCCTCTCATAGAAAAGAAGGTATGCTTGCGCTCTCAACACCTTGTCCTCCGTCACTTCAGAGACCATACTGTCTGAGACAAAGTACCATTTGCCTGCAGGGGGCTCAGCGACTGGAGTGGGGCCTTCGCCGGATTCGTAGCCAGATAGATCCGATTCGGAATCGCCATCTCCATCTCCACCACTGGAAACCGGTATATTAGCACTCTTTGGAAGGAACCACCACCTCGGATCGCCCCGTTTAATAGGCTGCCTTACTTTCACATATGCAACATAATGACCACCATGCATTCCACCAGAATGCTCAACAACTCCATACAGGGAGTATAGTAGCTCGTTTTGGCCACGAGCCACATTGGGCAGCTTTTTTAATTTATCCATTGCACAAAATGGTGCCAAATCCAAAATAGTTGGAAAATCGACATGCTTGGACATCTTTCTGAACATACAACGAGGGCCGATCTGAAACCGCTTCAAGTGGAGAATTAGAATCGCCGGTGGACTGGAAACAAGAAAACGTTTAGTGGCATTTGTGTATACAGTTTTACCGTCTTTACCATTGATTCTTTCAGTGCAAGTTTCACAACCAACTTTATTGTTGCCAGTCAGAAGTTCTAGAGCCGTGAACTGACTGAGGCATGATTGGATACTGCACTCATCCTCATCACAGACATATCGAGGGGATAGGGGACTTTGGCGGTTGAAGGATAAGAAATCCCTTTGATTTTTCTCAGCTTCAATATTATTTATTTTTGGCCTCGGTACTGTTGGCGGAGGGTCAATAATGGGGTTCTCTACAGCGACAGGAGATGAGAATGTGGGCTTCTGCTGAGTATCTTCCATATCGAGTTTTAATTTATCCAATATGTTAGTAACATCTTGGTGATTATTTAGCTCATTGAATGCTGCCGGTTCTTGAGTTTTGCTTTCAGGTAGTGACTCGTAACTGCTTTCGCCGCTGTGCTCCATTATATTCCTCGACCCTTTGACACTAATACCACGTGAAACAACTTCATTAGAATACTCTGGAGCAAAAGCTATTCGTGATACGGGTCTTTCGTATTCACTTTTCACTGGTGATAGTTTATTGTGCTGTGGACTTGACAGATCCAAATTTATCTCACTTGAAAGCGAGCTATGACTACCCAACTCTTTTCCATTGGTAGGAGAATCAACATTGTCGACCGCTTCGGTGGAGTTATGTTTTGTTGCCTCTGGACTAGCGACACCCGAGTCCGGATTGGAGAAGTTCTCAAGTGATGCCAGTGATTTGTATTCTAAAGGAATAATAGTAGTTGATGTTGAAGAATTGACAAATTCTTTGTCTTTATCTGTTGTTTCTGGCGTGTTGTCAGTTTTTTCTTTATCCAGGTCTATTGGGCTGGTGCGAATAGAATCGGAACTGATTACTTTCTCTGAGTTATATCCCGACTCCATGTGGTAGGCAGCAAAGTTGGCAGCTGTGTGAGCGATAGCCTGAGTGCCTACAGAGGCAGTATGAGTATCTGCATGTCTGGGCATGTCCTCTAAGTTGTCTTCTACATCAGCATCCGATTGCTCAGATGATGATTTTTCATCTTCTTTAGCACCATTAGTTTCACCAGGGTTCTTCTCTTTGCTTGTAGCATTACCTGAAAATAATGATCATTTTTAAGTTAAATAATTGCCAATATACACATTAATTAAATTCTAAATACAAAGCAGTAAATTTTATACTTCTATAGAAGAAACAGTTTTCGTAATTTTTCCTAACTACACAAATCCATGCACAGATAAAATAAACAATATATGCATACATAAATATTCAATGCGAGTCATGCTGTTGTTAGTACCACCTTTATTCTTTCGCGCGGCTTTTCTTGCAGCCATCCTCTCCTTTTTGAGTTGATGTTTTGAAGGTTTATTTTCCTCTTGCATATTGTACATATTCTCCTCTGAAAATATGTCGTTTTTATTCATCAATTTGTGTTCTGCATGAATTTAACCACACCATTTAAAATATCTGAATTTCTATGTGATGAGAAACTGACAATATTCTGTACTGTATATAATAGTGTTTATATTTGGAAATCTAAAGCTTTTATCCTTAATAGTGCATATAGTTTTAGTTTTTTTTTTAATGCACAGATGTTTTTCAACACAACTTGGCATAGTTAAATAAATAACTGCTCATTATTGCAACATAAAATAGAAGTGATATTACTTGCAGGATTTTCTACGCATTTATCGAAATATTTTTTTGTGTTTGGTGACTTGGTAAAGTATCAATATAAAAATTTTACAAAACTAACTACTTAGTGTACCCATGGTCAGGAGCGTTTGTCATTCGAGACCATGGGTGTTGCACAAAATTGGAAACATAGGGAATATAAAATAGTTAAAATGAATGCCATTTCATATCTTTGTTCTATTCATGTGAGTAATAATAATCATATTTTAAAAATTGTTTAATTTTGACTTTATAGCTGTAGTAAAAAATGTTAGTAACAAATAATAATAGACATCTTGGAGACCATCTACTATACATAAACATTGGACAACATAGAGAAACATGTTCAAACTTGACTACGATTTCTACTTTGTTTATAAATGAATGTATTTCTAAAACAACATCCAAATATAACTCCAATCTCTTTAAAATACAAAAGATTCATGATTTCATATTGAATAAAAAACTTCTGAAGCATTCACAATGAGCACAGATAAAAAAAAGAAAATGTAAAAGGAAAACATTCACTGGTACACAAAATTACACAAAAACAAAACTTGCAATAACAATTGAAAGACATACCATTTGGAGTTTTTCTTCGCACGACGGCCGGGGGCTGCGGCCGGCTGGCTGCCACTGGAAGCGAGAGGTCGAGGAAGTATTCCACTCGGTCTGAATGATGGAAGCACTCCTGACATTCCAGGGTGGAGACCAAAAAACCTCGGAATACCTGACCAATAGAACAAAAGTTCCTCTCATAATTCATCATAGTCCACTGCTATAATTAGGCTTTAATCATAGATTGACTCATAGGGGGTTATATTTGGCATAGTAGCAAGTGCCATACGTGGTAGACACGTTGGCAGTCACAGTTTTTATTATTTTGAGCTATGATCGGGAAGATGCTTTGTCCACCTCCTGTTTCAGTCTCTCCGCCACCATTAACGACAGCAATATGAGGTACTAGTACTAGTGGGTTCTCATAAGCCACCACTGCATGGGACAGAACAAAGTTAATACATTAAATTTCTTTGAAAGTATAAGCTTATTAGTATGTATATCACAATGCATAGCAAAGACGGACCTACACTTTTAATAATGTATCAACAGGAATGCATTGAAGTGATCTAATTGTTAAGGGTGCAACAGACTGCAAATTTTAGAAAGGATTCGGGATCGACATTTTACACATAATTTTCTGATGTTTGTTAGTTAACAGGTTGTTCATCTCATGAAGGTGGGTTTGGCACACGGAGTATTTATTAGGGGGACAACTTTCACCTTCAGTTAAATAGATATGTGAATGAGTGTCCAGAATATTTTGGCTGAAGCATGATTTGCTTGTAATGATCAGAAAAGAAAAAGATTTGCATAGAATACCAAGCATGAGCTAGCTGCTTAAAGCTGCTGTTTTGTATGGTGAGTAAGAAAAATAAGAAAACCACAAATTTGTAACAAATTAATAACGAGCATTTGAATTTTGATTTTAATTGAGGGTAAATTTTGGTGTCTATGGGCTACAGCATCCACTTACTAGGTAGATAATGTGCTTGTCTGTCACATTGTATTTTTATTTGAGCAAATAATATGCTAAGTAGTTCACATGGTAGAGTCATGCTGCAGCTGTATTATTGTTGTAGTACAAATTGGTCTGCTCGACTGGGAAAGGACTATGCTCTGACAAAATACTAGTGTGCAATAGCAGCTTAATGCTGCCGTGTTTCATATGGTGAGTGTAGAGAACTGAAGACCCTTGTTACTGGAAATTTCCATCTACATATCGTAACATTGACTGTGTGTTTGTTTGTCGCCCCTATCCTACAAAAAAAGTTGAAGTGTGGGTTTGCCTTTATGTTCATTTTGCTAACATAGTAATAATTAATTGTCTCTTGATGCAGGGAGCCATATTTCATCCTAATTTGTTTCAATGTTAATAAAACTAAAAACATTAAAAAATCAAGCTTTCACATATTACATAATATGTAACAGTTTTAACATACCTGTTCAGGTCTAAGCATAGTATCTGATGCTTGCTGGCCATAGAACTTGACTTTCTGCTTGACTTCTCCATCAACCTTGGCTGGATCAACCTTGGAACTCATACCAAGGCTACTGAGTATAACAGACTGATAGCGTCGAAGGTCTTCAGATCTGTAAAAATGCATATCTTGTTTGATTAATCCTCAGGTCAGTCTCAAGTGCTCTGGTCATACTGCGTGCCAGTTATGGACTTTATTACCCAGAGAAATCTCCAGCATAGTACTGTCTAAAGCTGATGTGGCAAAAGGCGAGCCATATAGCTGCTAGAAACACGTGATTGCAAAAAAATTGTGAAGCAGCAGTGTTATACAAGCAAGTTCTGCCCTTTAATGCAGAACGACCTATTATTGTTATCTATGGTGGTGGATGTCTGTATTTTCAGTGGCTATGATAACTATATTTTTTTTCCACTTAATTAATGACAACAAACATTTACACTAATAGCTTGCTTTGGAAATAAAATTTAATACAATTTTTACATATATTAATAATCTTTTGCTTACAAGAAAACAAGAGTATAAAACCTTCATTATTTTTAGAATAATTTGTGAAAACCTGTTTTGAAAATTATTTCCTTTATGTGTTAGAGCCATGCTGCAGCTATATTGTGGTTGCAGCACGAATGGGTCAGCTCGACCAGGGTAGGACCACGCTCTCACAGAATACCAGTGTAAAATAGCAGCTTAATGGTGTTGCGTTTCAAATGGTGAGTGTAGAGAACTGGAGACCCTTTTTATTGAAAATGAGGCATTCCATCTCAGTACTCAGGGCTGGCAACGCATCTGCATTTTGATTTTAATTGAAGGTAAATGTGGTAAAGTGGACAGTGAGTGTTCCTCACCCTTATACTATAAAAACATTAAGGTTACCCCACAGTAGGATTTTTCCTTATATTGTAGAGATGGTTTACATACATAAACTGCAAAACGATAAACATCCAGACCAGAGACCAAATATTTGTAGGTCATACAAACAACAGGTAGTAGTGTGCGGTGTCCCAGCTATACACTTAGTTACTGCACTATCATCCGCTCTATGACATTATGAACAGAATATATGTATGGATTTAAGCGGGAATAATATCAAAAAGATTATCAAATAAGCAGTAACTAGAGATTGCAATCCGGATTCTTCGAAATTCGAAAATAACTGAAAAATTCGCATTTTTTAGTTATTATAAATCAGATTTTTAGGACTCAAATCCGTGTTTTTCGGATTTTAGTCAAAATTGAGTTTAATGGATAATATTTTATATTTATCCACAAATTTTCGTTCTAAGTAATGAGTAGTTAGGCATTACATACTATAATACGCAAACTCGAACAATATTGGAATTGGTTAATTGGTAAATTTTTAATAAAATCTTTAGACAGCCAAGACACAGTGTCTGTCAGGCAACTGGCAATTTCATTGAAACGGCGAATTAAAAAGAGGAGACTCTGTAATATTGTTGGTGCCTTACAATACTTACCTAACCCTAATCAATTTTTAAATGAGACTGAGGAAGACGTGATCAATGTGTGTGTAAAAAATGTGATCTATCAAGCTGCATCCCTTGTGCATGTTGACGATTGCACGACCACGTCAACTAATACAAACTCTATTTCAGAAATTCTATATGATCGTTCTGATCCATCGCCGCTCAGTTTTAAAGAAAAGCTCAATCGTCATTTTTTTTGCAAGTGTGGGTAGTGACAGTGAAATCCGGATTATCCGAATTTTAATTATAGAAAAATTTAGAAATTAGGATTTTAAAAAAATCTATCTCTAGCAGTAACTATTTTCTTAGTACCTAATGTTACTTTTTAAAAATCTCACCTCACAGCTTCTAGTAAATGTCTCAGCAATTCATGGGCATCATGTTGATCTCCACCACCAAACTGTGGCAGCTTATTCACTAACGCTGATAGCAGCTTACGAGGGGTATAGACACCACCTTCCCCTGGCAAAAATAAATCAAAACACGTTAGTTATTCAATTTTTTTATATTGCTCAACATTAAACATAATAAAGCCTTCAAAATACGAAGTAATACCCAAAAATGTAATTATAATAAAATATCCGATCAGTTGTATGATAAGTTAGAGTTTACATTAGATACCAGCATAGCTTGTGACTATAGATTAGTTCAGCATTACAGCCCTTCACAAGTCCACTGCTGAACCACCATATTAAAAAATAACCGACCTAAAATATTAATACATTCACTAGTACATGAAATCATTTGCATATTTCGGGTCATTGTTGCCCCCAAGTAAAACCACAAAGCACGGTCCTGAGCCACCTACATCCATCGACTTCCTGCATGTCTTACCTGGTCGTCACTCCATCTAGTGGGGGGTCGCCCTACACTACGCCTACTGGTGCGAGGCTGCCACTCAAGAACCTTTTTACCCCATCGGTCATCGGTTTTTCGAGCTATGACCAGCCCATTGCCACTTCAGCTTACTAATCAATTGGGCTATGTCGGTTACTCTTTTTACTGTTCGACTGCAGAAATCCTCATCTCTGAGTTTATCACGCAGAGAAATCCTGAGCATAGCCCTCTCCATAGCTCTCTGAGCCACCTTGAGCGTTCTCGCGACCATGTCTCAGATCTGTAAGTCATCACTGCCATTGCCAGTGATGACTTACTAATAGATTAGTTATTGCAACAAAATGACTAAGTCCCAGCTGAGTCCCCATACAAACCCAAATACAAATTATTTTAACTTGCAAGTTAGAACATTTTAACAAAAACTTCATATAAATTATGTAAATTTTATTAACTAGTATGCATATCTCTTACAAGAAGAATAGGATATAGTATCCTTTGTCGCATGGTCTCTTCAATGTCCTATTCAAATTAATATATAATTTAAATACATCATTGTTAAGCATTCTAATATAATTATAATATAATGAAATAATTTAATTGTAAAAATGTAGTAGATTTAATTGTAACTATAATATTTGTATACCTAAGGGTTGAATGTAGTGAATATAATTTTTTAAGATCTATTCTATCTCCTGTACTTGTATTCACAAATAAATAAAAATTTGAATTTTAATGTCCATTTAACCAATTCCAATAGCAATTTAATTTTTTAAATAACTACTTTAAAACATTCTTCAGTTACATTTTTCTTTTAATTCAAGATTATTTATTTGTAAATACAGGTAATTGGACTGAATAGATCTTTGAAAAAAAGAGAAGAATGTTTGCTGCATTCAAAGGTATACTAATATAATAGGTACAATTAAATCTACTACATTTCTACAGTTAAATTATTCCATTATATTATTTATATTATAATTATATCAGAATGCTTAATGTAAATGTATTAACATTTAATATACAATACAATGACGTGAATGTAATTAAATTATATATTATTTATTTTCATTATTTCTTTTTTCCTTGGTGTATTGTATGTAACAAGATTAAACTACTGTAATCAATTTGATAAATCTATGAAAAATTATAAATTGAAATTGAAAGATCTATTTATTCATCATGTTAAAGATATTCAATCATCTATATTATCAAACAACAAATATTTTCTTATAAAATAGTATATTATAATTTATAATAGTATAATAATATGTTATGGTCAAAACACATCAAGGAAATAATTTGTGTAAATGATTAGAAATAATAGTACAAGTTTTAGTTCACAAAACTTATAAGGTCCTTTTTAACTCTGATGAAAACAGAGGGGTGTTATAAGTTTGTAGTGAAAGGTCTTAATTGAGACTGTTCTTAGTTAGCTTTTTGGTTGAGCCACGCTGCAACTATATTAGTAGTATACAACGCTGTCTTAGGCTATACCCTTGAGCACACAGAAAAAGGGCCCTTTTGGAGAGTAAAAGAAGTGAATGACAAAAACATTTTTCTGCTATGAACTTATATGTAATTATAACCGATCCACGACTTTTTCTGCCACCAGGGCTACACCACTTTACAATGAGCTAAAATATTTGGCAGATTTCATAGCGGGGATGATAATTTCTTAGGAAAACTTAAAAGTTTCTTTCCTAAACTTTCTTTCAAAAAAGGAAAATATTCTATAACAACATCAATATGTGTATTCTTTTTATTTATTACACTAAAATTTAGGCTTCAATTGTCTACAAATAAGGATCGTAACAATTATTTGCTATAAAATCTATTAACTGTGGTTGATAATGGTTATCATATTAAATAAATCATGTGCCGGTAAATCTTTTGAAGTTTTATTTTTATTAAACAGTATGAAATGATATTTTTATCTCATAGATTATAAATATGTACGTTTCCATATATTAGCTATGGCTATATATTAGCTATAAACAAATAAGGCCGATGGCCCTATCATCACAGGGGCCCCGTGATGAAAGGAACACGGGGCCTGTGTGGCCTTATGGTAAAGACGGTACTGGTAGTATCGTTGTAGCACGAATGGGTCAGCTGACCGGGGAAGGACCACACTCTCACAGAATAGCAGTGTAAAATTGCAGCTGAACGCTGCTGTGTTTTGTCTGGAAACAAGGTGTTCACAACAACACATCTGAATTTTGATTTTTAATTGAGGATAGATGTAGATGTCTATGGGCCACAGCATCCACTTACCGTCAGGTGAACTGTGCTTGTTTGTCACACCCTATCCAATAAAGAAAAAATAGCTATATTTCAAGAGAATGTCTTCAGCTGTTTGAAAATCATTAGCTCTTTTTGTTTCATGGCTTTTAAATTTTTTATTTAAGTATTGCTACTAACATCAAAATTAGTTAAATATGAATAACATTTCACTAAAAGCAAAATGTTTATTGGTAAAGGAACAAAATCTTATTATACACAATGCCACTGTGTGGTCACTGCGTATTCGGAGTGTATGGGAATATTGTATCACCTGTAAGTGTTGTAAGAAGCAACAAAGGATTTTGGTTTCCATTACTGTTACAGCCTATTACAGTCCATTACTGAGCGTAGGCCTCTCCTATAGATTGTCTACTCTATACCATGCAGCATGAATAAAAATTCTAAGTGATTATACTGACTGCAACTTGCAACAAAATATTAATACATTCACCAGTACATGAAATCATTTGCATATTTCGGGTCATTGTTACATTATACCGTTATAAACTATCGAAGTCCACTGCTGGGCCTCCCCTATAGATTGTCTAATGGGGGGGGGGGGGATTTTTGCCATAGTTGCTGTGCTTGGAAAGTGGGGATGAAAACCATAGTTTTTGAAGATTTTGATTAGCTAGGAACAAATTATGTAATTTAATTATTAATCTTGTTATATTATTTTTATAATACACAACTTCTTTGTTACATACAACATTAAAATCATAAGACACGAAAAATTCACAATTTACATACCAGCTTGTAATTCTGCAAGTGTTTCAGACAGTGTACGAGTCAAGATACCCCATTCACCTAACTGTCCAGTTATTGGTGGAAGTTCCACTTCTTTTCCATCATCTCCATCACCTTTGATCTTTAATTTACCTCCAGGTAAAGTAAACCTCTCTCCTGGAGTTGCCATTTCTTGCAGAACATCTTGTAAATATGGTGTTTGAACTAAACACTGCATTACTGAATTAAAAAAGCATGTATTTCCTAAATTTGAGAGGCCTCTCACTCGGGGTAAATTTAAAGCCATGGCTTTCTCTTTCCCTTTTGATATTTGATCTGTTTTTATTATTGATTCAGCTGGTGACAGTATATCTAAATTTTTAGGTTGAGTGTCAAAAAGAGGCTCAAAAGAAGGCAGTGGTTTATTACTTGATGCTAGCTTCTTAACATATTCTATGCATTCATGTAGCTTTTTAGAGCTCGAGGCAGTTACTTCATTGTTACAACTGTAGCAATAGATGTCCCATGTTGTAGTGTTGGCTGTAAGCGAGTGGCAGTCAGAGTGTGGTGTGTTAAAATGGTTTAGAGCGTGTTTATTACGTGCCCGCCCGCAAAGTTGCGTGCCGCACCGCAAACACATCCAAAGACTAAGATCTTCTTCATAATTTGGGTCAGGCTCTTCGATTTTATTACTCTTTTTACACTCCGAGCATTCTCTTTCAAAACCTCCTGATTTTAAGGCTTTTTTAAGACGCGTTAGATCTACTGCTTTGGCTACATGAGGACATGCAGACTTCACACTTTCGTCACAAGATTCGGTGGATTCATCACCATTTTCACCGGGATCACTTTGTCTCTTTTTCTTTACCATTGTTAATTCAGGTCACTATCTGCCTGCAACGTAATGAGATACTTGTAATAATAACCACACGAACACAAAAAGAAATGTCAAATCTGTGTCGATTGCCTTTGCACGCGTGACGACGCACATTTACCAAGAAACTGACAAAGGAAAACTATATAACATTTTAATCAATTCATAAATGTATTAAAACAAACTTACGTTTACATATGCTGGCAAAAACTTTATGTGTATGACGTAAATTCACGAATTTCTAAAATTTTTGTCACAAAATTACACTACAGCAGTCAGACATCTTGACAATGATGTTGGTAACATTAAAAAATAAAAAATGAAATAATTATGTAAGTTAGGTTCGGTTCGCACAATTTAATATCAATAAGGAATATCGATTTACGCTGACCAAAAGACAAGTATCCAAGGCAATATTATCAAGTAGTACTCTCTGGCGATGAGTAGCGGAACTAAAATTCTGAAACGTCAACATGACCGTGGTGGAATTGATAATCGAGTTGTAATTTTCTATTGATTTTTATTCCTATATTACTTCATATTTACAAACAGTTTCATCACAAAGCTGCACAAAGCATAAAAGTGTTATAGCAAGCGTTACTCAAATATGTAGAGGTTTTAAAAATCAGTCTTAAAACGAGATTTTTAGACGTTGTTGTTATTGTTACTTAGTTGTTAGCAAATTCACCAGAATGTCGCTGCCAGGGAACGGAATATTTGTAGTTCAGGGTGAAATGGCAATGCTTGTCACTGCCATGCGGCGCAGCACACGGTGGGGCTCTCATTCTTTCCCCAACGAAGAGTATGATGTCCTCATGAGAACTTTCCAGGATCTAAAAACTATACTAAACCAAGTTGAAGATTTACGACTACTCGATCCATCAACGTACCTAAGTCCCTTTCTGGAAGTTATCAGGAGTAAGGAGACCACGGGCCCAGTTACTAGTCTAGCTCTTTCAGCCATACATAAATTTTTATCATATGGACTCATTGGTAAGATGTGTGTTATTTTTTAGGTAAGTACTTATTTAGTTCCTAATTATAATAATTTTGAATAAAATGAAAACCTTTTATATAAATTTGTTTTGATGTGAACTACTTGTGAAGGGTGGATGTGGAAACCTCTTTTATTTTGAGGAAAAAATTATTTAAAATCACACGCCCCAAAAGAGTAGGTTGTGGGGATTAACCAATTGTGATTATTGGCAAAAACTACTTTTATGGACTTTATCGCATTTGATATATATGATTTTAATTCCCGATGTTTGTGATCATATCCTAGGCGGCCTCAGCCATTACATCAGGTTTGATAGACCAGAAATCCTCGAGAATGAACATTGATTCCTACTAGCAATGATACGTGAGGCTATTGAAATTAAGAAACATACTAATTTAAATAGAAAAGGAGGCTAGGTACTACCATCTGCTTGAAAACCTCTAATCAATAAAACTAAATCCAAGCATACCACTGCAAGACTTCAAGACAGTAAGTTCATTCTGTGCAGATTGGATCATAAATAATAATTCAAAAGCTGAAAGTACTCTGGGTTAACGCTGATATTTGGACGTCAGTCATCTCAGTCCCCCATGACCAGGGGTGCTGGAAAGCACCTGAAACATTAGGAATTAAAAATCATATGTATTAAATGCGATAAAATCTGTAAAAGTAGTATTAATCAAGTCTCCCACCCTTAGTCTTCCCTATCTACAACTCAACCTATTATCAGAATTTACCATGCCTAGTTTTAGCTGTAAGCTCAAATATACTCACTTACTTGTTAATTTGCTATGAATATAGCACCATTTTATTTCATACACATATTCAATTTGTACACATATGATGTACACCTGCCTCTTTTTGCTCATGGTGACAATGTGTGGATAAACTATGATGTAATATTGTAGTAAAAATGTGAAAATTGATTAAGTAGTTAAGATCTGCATCTACTTGATAATACGGAATGCATATTGAATCTCAAAGGAGGCATGTCACAAAGTAATGCTTAATTCTATAGTATAGTGTCAGTAATAGTATAGTGACAAGTTTATGCATAAATACAGAGAAGTTTGCTAATTCAAAGCATTCAATACCATAGAATAGAATGGAATAATTTTTTATTCAATATAGATTACAAGTAATTCTTATTGAAAGTCAATTTTTTACTTTACCACTGGTTTGAAAAAAAAACCTCTGTCCTGGGAAGAACCAGCAAGAAACCCAGCAGGACTTTTAAAAAAAATTACAATGTCATTGGTCGCAAAATATTTACAAAATTTATTTTAGGAACAGCTTGGAAGCGACCACCTCATTCCCAGGGGTACAACAATGTATTCATTTATATCATAATAACCCTTTTTATATAGTTTTTGTTTAATTAAATATTTAAACTTGGTAATAGAGAGACCTTGTATATTTTCTGGGACTTATATATAATATAATATCGGATAGTCCAGTACCTTGTACTTTCCTCTCAACCATCTGGATATTTCAAGTCGTAAATATTTTTAAACAACCTATTATAATAACTATCAGATTCTTAAAAAAGTTTCTAATCCCTATAAAATAAACTCTCAGAAATTGGCTGCAATTTGCAGCTGTTATATAAAACTTAATTTTATTTTAGTTTTTACGGACTATACTTTTACATAATCTTTAGAGTGAAATGCATCTGTTTACTAATACCATTATTTTTAACTCCAGATCCAACACACCCAAGTGTACCAGTTACAGTTGAGGACATTGCCGATGCAGTTACACATGCTCGGTTCGTCGGCACTGACCACTCCTCTGATGGTGTAGTGCTTATGAAGATTTTGCAAGTGAGTTTTTTATAATATTCTAATGAAAAAAACAAGCTCACACCCTCGTGATAGTAAGTGGCCAATGCAGATCATGGTCTCTGTATGCAAATCCATTCTTATTGAATAAAACTATTATTTATAGATTTTATCGCATTTAATTAACTACTTTAACTTATTTTTATTATCCCAACATTAGGGGTGCTTTACAGCATCCATGATTACGGGGGAGACTGACATGTTTGACGTCCAGTGTCATAGTTAGCCCGGCTACTTTCAGTATTTTTATATTAATTTTCGGTCCGACCTGCGCAGAACCGAGCTTAACAGAAAATTTATATTAAAAACTGAAGATAGCCGGGCTATGACATTGGGACGTCAAACATCTCAGTCCCCCGTGACCATGGGTGCTGTAAAGCACCCGAAACGTTGGGATAATAAAAGTAAGTTAAAGTAGTTAATTAAACGTGATAAAATCCGTAAACAGTAGTTTTATTCAATGTGTAGTGATTGCGTAAATTTAGGAAATCATTAAATCCACTCTTAATTTAATATCTTAATTAGAACAAAAAGTAGAATAAAAAGCTAGAATAATTTTGCTGAAAAATTTAAATCAAAAGGGGAGATTTCCCGCCGGGCAAGATGTTCGGCACCATAAGTGGCCAATACTCCAAGTGGTGTTTCGAAGCTATTCTATGTATACTGCTTTACTTCGGAATTTTAATAGTGCTATATTTAATGACTTTTAATATTTATGTGAGTACAATCATTTCTCGACTTAGGCTACCCTGTTTTACGCGAATTCGGAGATACGCGGTTTTTCATTTGCAAGTTTGAGCTTGTGGAAATGTTTTACGTACGCAATACACATTTGGCTTACGACAAGCTCGGACGTGTTTCTAGTGGAATTGTTGTACATATAGTGCACATTATTGATTTATCTTTAATTATGTCATCCAAAAGATCAAAAAATGAGTAATTTGAACCTAACACGAAAAACACTTTCTTTGGAGTGTAAACTAAATATTATCACAGATTTTGAATCGAAAATAAATTTATAAATTAGCAAAGAAGTTTGACTTACCGGAATCAATAGTCCGAACGGTTATAAACACTAAGGAAAAAATTACGGAAGCTGTGAAAGGCTCTCAATCTTTGATTTCAAGCATCATTCGTAAACGTCACGGTATTATCGGTCTAATGGAAACAATGTTGCAATTATGGTATGATTACCAAGTAAGATTTAAAAATTATTCTGTTGTCCAAAACACAACACATGCATTTACGTGAGAAAAGGAAAACTTTACTTGTCAGGCGACATTGTTAGAATATATGCAGCCTTCGACATCAAAATAACTTCAGTTTATGTTTTTTTATTCATAGTAATGTAAATTGTTTTTGTTATCTAACATTTTATTAAACATGATTCCTCTAAGTTATTATTTTCTTCAGACTCTGGTTCCGATTTCAACAACTTTATACGTATTTATATGGAAAATTGAACCCCGACTTACGCCTACTTATGTCTTACCTATCACGTAAGTCCGGGGTATTACTGTACTGCGCATTTAAATAAAACTAGTTTTTACGGATTTTATCGCGTATATTAAGGTGATACCTCGACAATTTGGTGTTTTTTCTATTTAACATATTTTTTTAAGTTTTATAGATTACAAACCAAAATTTTGGTATATGATTGACCTTGGATTGCATAAAAGGAAAACACGATATCATGTAATTTTCTTGATAGAAAAAAAATGCAAAATAGGTGCTAATTATTTACATTTCTCGATGACATCACAATATTCTTACGAATAATTTTATGGAATTATTTTTAAGACATAGTAAATAACCATATCTAAGTCTCATAAACCAGTTTTTTAATCCATAACGAAGTTTTGTTAAAATAAATAAAAATATTGTTTGGCGCTTACTTAGATTTTTTCCGAGTGCTTGCTCGGTATGGCTATCTCATAATTTGCGTACTATGAAGTTATTGCTTCACTTTCATTTTGACACTCCCGCAGTCGTCCGTTAGCTTCAACGACAAAGGAATCCCCAAAACTTCGATTCATGTTCAAGGTATCCTCTTAACTATTTTGTCCCAATTACACCTCAGTTCACCCCCTCTGATCAAGGGTGCTGTAAAGTGCTCGAAACATCGGGAACATATACGCGATAAAATCCGTATTTTATTTAAATTTGGTAGAGAGATTTAGCCTTCGATGTGTACCATTTGTGGTGCAACGACAGTGCTGCCACAGTAGTAAGTTAAACAAAAGTTTCAAGATAGTTTTGAATAATTCCAATCATATATATATTATATAGATTATAGATAGCTAGAGAACTACAGTTTAATAGCATGATACAGGAGAAAATCCTAGTAGTGTACAAAATAACCAATTTTGTTAATTTTTATTTTATTTCAATTTATATTTACAGGTTCTCCGCACTTTAATGTTGAGTCCTGAAGGTGCCATGTTGACAGACGAGAGTGTCTGCGAGATTATGCTTAGTTGTTTCCGAATCTGTTTTGAAACAAGATTAACAGGTTGGTTTAATAGTTTATTTTTTTTTAAATTTGATGTGACAAACGAAGTTATGGTCCACCTGATGGTAAGTGCCTACATCATTCCATGGACACCTGCAACAAAATTTAAACAAAACTTTTCTTTATAGAATGTGTGGTAGAGCCACGCTGCAGCTATATTATGGTCGTAGCATGAATGGGTCGGGTTGACTGGGATAGGACGACACTCTCACAGAGTTACCAGCATTAAATAGCAGCTTATTTCTGCTGTGTTTTGTATTGTGAGTGAAATGAACAAGAGATCCTTTTAAATCTTGGTCCCCACGGGTGAAAAAGCATTTTCATTTTGATTCTCAATCGAGGATAAATGTAGATATGTCTTTGGGCGACGGCATCCACTTACCAACAGATGGACTGTGTGCTTGTTTGTGACCTTTATTCTATAAAAAAAGACTACTACCATCTAAAAGAGAGTTTGAATCATATTATGTCTTGCATATAAAGAGTTACTTTTGTCTATTGTGTTTTATCTATATGTAATCCTTTTATCTCTACAACTCTTTATAAATTTCCTATGACTTTATGTTAGGATAAGCTACTAAAGTGCAGCCTTATGTAATTGAAGAATGTATATCGTAATATATATAAATTACGTGTCACGTTGTTTGTCCGCGATGGACTCCTAAACTACTTAACCTATTTTAATCAAATTTGCACACTGTGTGCAGTTTGGTCCAACTTGAGAGTTAGGATTTTTTTTGCCCATGAGTGACCCACAATGAAAATTGAAATTACTGGCTTCTATTAAGCTAAAGTGAATGGCTGAACCGATTATAATGGAACTTTATGAACAAATAGAGAGCAATACCAGGAGGAAACTAGGCTATATTTTATCCGAAAACTGGAAAGTTTTTGTTTAAAAAACGAGAATATCAATTTCTCTTTTTATATGGTAGAGCCACTCTGCAGGTATATTATGGTTATAGCATGAATTGATTGGCCCGACCGGGGAAGGACCACTCTCTCACAGAATATCAGTGTAAAAGAGCAGCTTAATGCTGCCGTGTTTCATATAGTGATTGTAGAGAACCGGAGTCCCATTATACTGGAATCGAGGCATTCCATCTTAGTCCTCAGAGGTGACAACGCATATGCATTTTGATTCTTAAACGAGGTTAAATCTAGATATCTATGGGCCACAGCATCCACTTACCATCAGGTGGACTGGACTGTGTGCTTGTTTGTCACCCTTATTCTATAAAAAGGCGGAAATTGATATACTCGTAAATATATGGTCTTTGGTTATCTTAGAATTAATAAATACAAAAACCAATATTTAATGAAATACTTTATAATTGACAGAGTTATTGCGTCGTAATGCCGAGCAATGTCTCCGAGACATGACGCAGCTGATCTTTATGAGACTGCCGCAGTTCCCACCAGAGGACCCCTCCAGCAGTTTGACGACGCTTAACCTTTCGCTCAAAAAGCGCGACAAGACTTCTAAAAAGCGGAATTTGACCACAGCACATAGTAAGGGTTTGTTCTATTATATTTGTAATGTTTTAAGCTTCTCAATTTATTGTGTATTGGTGGTGTAAGAATATCGTAAGAGGGAACAAATCAGGATATGGGCAGCAACATCTTCCTAATAATGGGTGCGTTTGGCAGAAAAAAGCGCTAGCAAGCGCTTACAAGCGCTGAAATAGTTTTCGGCCAGGACACGATTGCTACTTCAGTAGCACTGACACAATCCGCCATTTTGCTTATTTAATTTGTTTGTTTTGAAGTAGAGTTTATAAGTTTTTTTGTGCAATGTTAGTTTTAAGTAATATAATGACATGAATAGACATATACATGTTATTTGTTCATTTAAAAATTCATGATTGGTAAGTTTTTAATATGAATACTTTACAAACATATATTTAAATTAGGTTAGGTTCCCCGGTTAAAACTATTTTCGTGTCCTAGAGGAAAATATCTACTTACGATTTGACAGCACTTACCACTTACGATCGCCATTTTGCTTACAAGCACTTGCTAGGCGCTTTTTTCTGCCAAACGCACCTAATAGCTAAAACGCACTTCAAATAAAATCTGTGGATGCCAATCCGCAAGCTAAGCGTGGCAACTATGGCAAATATTCCCCCTATGTGGAAATCAATGGGGGAGACTTATGTTCAGCAGTGGACTTTAATAGACTGTAATGGTAACTGTAAGTTTTTCAGTTGAATAATTTGCATTTCTGCTTTCTAAGTAGACCATTAGGATAAGAGTTAAATACAAATTCATGGAGGATGAGTAAAAATCTGTTTGTACACTAAACCAAATTATGTGTATTTAATGTCACAGGAGCCTTATATTGCAGGTATGGCCTGTACTTGGCCTATTATTTTGTACTTTTATCATCATTACAGCTCCTCGCTAGTACGCTGAACATAGGCCTCCCTATATAAGAATGTGGGTTTCGTAAGAGGCAATTATAAAAAAATGGCAAAATGTTCTAATAAATTTCGATAGATAGTGACGATGTACCCATATGTCAAGCGAAAAAACAGACCAACGACGGGGACAGCGTCATAGGTGTAAGACATCTGGTACTGCGATCAGTTCGCCTAATTAGCATCACTATTGAGGCAAAAAGAGAACTTTCTGACGGTACGTCAGAGACTGTACGGTCCAAAATCATTATACTTTATGCTGACGCGATTCGAACCACCGCGCCGCGAATTACCTATGACGCGCCTATTTTCAAATTTAACTCAGTGAGTGCAGTAAACTGTTTCAGTAACAACACGTGTGCTTTCTTTATACGCCACTCATACTATCATCTTAAACTATCTTAAAACTACATACCTAGCTATAAAATAGTTTAATTATAAAGAAGCTGTATGAGTCGCAGACTGTAGTCCGTACGGTCGGCAGTGGTCCTATACGGGCCAATGAAGAAGAAGCAGAAGAAAAAGATCAGCTTAGAATCAATATTGATATATTTAGACAATTCAACAAAACCAAACATCAAATATGTTAAAACGAAGTCAACCACATTTCATTTTTATTTTATTTTATAGTATATGGGTGACGAACAAGTACAAAGTCCACCTGATGGTAAGTGGGTACTGTAGCCCAAAGACATTTATATTTGACCTCGAATAAGAATCAAAATGCATATGCATTGTCACCCCTTTTTTTTTGCATGGGGAAATGCCTACGCATACCCGCCTCGCGGGGGGCAAGGACGGGTTATGTCGGACTCGCACCGACTAAAACCCCATGGTGTTCCACCTTTGTCGCATATTGGCAGGGCTACGGGAACGCTTTCGCACACATCCGCGGCCCTACTAGCGCCTGCCGCCCCATGGCAGCACCTCCTCGGGAGAGGAAAATTCCTCCCCGTTCTCCTTCCCAGGTAAGGCGCACCAGAACATATGGCGCGCCTTCCTCCACGGCCTCCAACTACGTCTGTGCAACAGACGCCCCCCGCGTCCGATGCACAAAGGCCATGGGGCCAGGAAAAACGAGCACTTAGAAGTACTAGCCTTCCCGACCCCAGCGGCGGATCTGGTCTATGGCTCCGCCGCCAACCAAGATTCGGCTGCGGAGGGTAGGGAGAGCGGCGCCTCGCAATACCGACAAATTCTCTCCCCCCGCAGCCCCACCACCACCGCATCAACGGTGCGGCCCCGTTTGAGTCGCGAAGGATAGGGCGAGTGGCGCATCGCCATACCAACACTCCTCTTCCTCCGCGACTCCACCTCGGCTGCAGCGGTAGAGGGTGCGCGAGTCCCCACTCGCTGCAGTCCACCAGCACACATCCGAAGTGGGCTCCCCAAGCCCACTCGGAGCGGCCACCTCAGGCCGGCCCTTCACCTCGGGCCAGCCACGTGGGTTCCTCTTTGTTCACCGTGGGAGACCAAGCCACGGCTACTAAGCCCCCCCGCCACGACAAGGCGGGAACCCGTTCGGGGGGGGATGCGTAGTCACCCCTGAGGACTAAGATGGAATGCCTAGTTTCCAGTAAAAAGGGTCCTGCGGTTCTTTACACTCATCATACGAAATACATCAGCTTAATGCTGCTATTTTCGCTGATATTCTGTGAGAGCGTGGTCCTGCCTCGGTCGAGCCGACCCATTTGTGCTACAACCATAATATAGCTGCTGCGTGTATTACTCTACAGTCCTTCTTTCCCCTTACTTTTATATGCGGCTGCAATGTCTATAACAAATATATCCGACACTGGAATGTTTTGAGGAAAACTCCCGTTAAAGATGTTGGCTTTTTCCTTGCCACATATATCTATAATAGATCAACAATGTCGTTTGCTTTGATTTCTTTCCATGAAAATTGAAATTGAAGTGAATTTGATATCCGAAACGGAACATTTAAATCTGCCATCATTACGTAATAATCCCTTCATTTGGTATACGAATTGACGATTCCAGTACCTGCCTCTCCTCGCATTTTATACTGTACTAACGTTCGATGCTTCGCCTATTTTAGTAATGGTTTCTTATATGTACGCGTATGCTGCACATTAATTAAAACTGATTTTACAGATTTTATTTTTAATTAGACTTTTGACATATAAAAAGTCAAATTAAATGAAGATAAAAACCATATAATTTGTTTCATTCGCCTATTTTAGGTAAAGCTTTGTTTATTTTGTCTCACAATTATATGTTTTTGGTAATATTTATGCGTAATTTATTTCTGTTAATTAGGCCACTCTGAGGTCACCAACAATCTAACTTTTTAATGTAAAATTATAAAAAAATCGGTGAAAAAGACATTCTTTCCTATACATGTCATATTTTCATATTTAATTAACTTGTATCAAAAGTTTTCATTATACTAAATCTAGTCTGAACTGAAGCTTGTACATTTTTTATATTTTTCAAATAAATAAATATCCACACTTAATTTGCTCAAGATTTATCTCAAACATCAATTTGTCGGACAATTTCATAGGAATATACTTATTTACTTTGTTGGGCAAACCGACAACAGATGGCGCCTGTAGCCTCTTAGATCGCGCTATGGTTTTGCTTTGCAGTGTTGATGTTACATTTTACTCTTTAGGTATTAGATAAAAAGGGTGTTTGCCGCTTTGATGGCACGCGGCCGGTAACGGTCTGCGGGGTATGGTTATCAAGACATACCCAACACATAATTTTTATAACCGCGAGGCAGTTGGATACCCATATGTACCGGCGCCTCGTTTCCTTAAAACTTCATACAGATACCTATTGCATTGATGTATGGGATTTGATTTGAATACGTAGGACTTGCAACGAATAGTATATTCGGCAGCACGCCGGATACCGAATATTCTGCCGGCTAGAGATGAGTCGTACTAGGTAAATTTCGTACTAGGTGCACCTAGTCCAATTCCGTATAAATACTCGATCCAAATACCTGTTCCACCTAGTCCATAAAGTATCAAGTACACATAAAGTTTAGTATTGTTGGAATAGGAATAGGATACGCTATAGTTTCAAGTACCATATTTAACGTGCGTACTGCTGAAACGTGTGCAATAATAAATTCCTACATCTTCCCTTCATACTTTACAAAATTATTATAATTATTCTCGTAACTAAATTACGAGAATTAAGGCTATATGAGAAATAAATTAAGATCATTTACTTCCAATTACTTCAAATGCTACTTAGTAGTACTTCATATTTTGTAAAATTTGTTTTTAAAGATGTTTATCTTTGATTTATTTGAAAAACTCTAGAATGGGAGTACTCACCTATTGATTTTGTATGTCTTGATTTTAAGCTGCTATGTTTTTTTTACTATTGCTATAATTCTATAATTGGTTGATGCAGCTCATACTAATGACGGAAGGGAGAATTTAAAGTGGATTGTTTTCATTTATCTCTCATATAATTTTAATAGTAACGAGCCTAATTATAATATTTTTTTAGAATATTGTTTGCATAATTCTTATAAATAACAATAAAAAAAAGAATTGTTCTGAACAATAAAAAGTGAGTTTGTCAGTTCCGGCGCACGACTGAAGTTCATTACTTACGAACGATTATAAAATATATAGATTAGTAAATGTGGGTAAATGAACGCATTTTTATACTACTAAAAGCATGCATGACACATTTACTTATATTAATTATTTAATGTATATTCATCAAAATATATTACATAATCATCGAAACGTAAATTGTTTACGCTTCCAATGCTATGTTATGTAGTCATGGAAACATGAAAACAGCGTCCACCGAGATCACATTCGCATGAGTCCGTACCGTATTTGACAATAGACACTCGCCTGCCTTGTACTCTTGTATAAGTATTTGGTTGAACTAGTCCGAGTCCCGACTAGTCTCGTACTAGTATTTGGTTGAACTAGTCCGAGTCCCGACTAGTCTCGAGTCTCGAGTATTGACAGACAAAGATAGAAAGACTACGGAATAGTCTAGTTAAAAAAAGGACAGAATATATTATTACACAACAAACACGAGTGCGCGTCACGTTACCTTTATGTTCATTAAAATTTGGTTCAAATTCAAATGACTGACAAACTAATGATTTAGGCAAAGACGACCCCAGTTGAGCCCCTACTAACTACAGTCTACGGCAACAAAATACGAGTACGACGCGTAGGCACAGTGAGACTAGATGGATCAAGTATTTTAAAAGTTGGAATAGGTGCAACCTAGTCTCGTTAAATACTTATTTTATTGTACATTTAATAGACTGTTATGATAACGGTGATGGTTACTTAGTATTAACGTTTCATATATTTATTTCAGGTACAAATTCATTAGACAGGAAGTCATCCCTCACGGAGCAGACAAATTCCAATGCAGTCGAAAATGGACCTGAAGTGGATACGAAAACCGATGCTGTACAAAGGCATAAGTAAATAACTTATATAGTCTTTCTTTTTCATCATAAACTAAAAGTCTACTGCTGAACCTGGGCTTCTCCTGTTTTTGGGGGTGCTTTAATGGTCACGCTAGCAGGCAGTATTGCAATGGACTGGACGTTTCGCACGTCTGATACTGCTTCTCGTCACCGGTATGGAAAAAACATGTCAGCTCCACATTAATGAATTTCTTATGGAGCACGTTTTTAAAAAAATAAACTTTCTATATATCTATTTTCTATATACTTCTTATAACCTATTACCTTTTTTTTCAGCCAAGATAAGAATCTAATTAACGAAGCAGAAATAACTATAGAGCCGGTTGACCAGCCACTTAAGAGTCCCATCAAGAAGCATGGCCGCCATTCCTCGATGGACCTTGCGAATGGGAACACGACCATAACGCAGTTGCTGGAGAAGTGCGTCAGCAACACAGAGGGGGAAGAATCACAAAAAAGTGAGCCAGAAGAAATACAGAAGACTGACGAAGTTATCGAAGAGCCCAAAGAAGGTATGTTTTTAACCGACTTCAAAAAAGGAAGAGGTATTCAATTCGAATGTTTATGTTTGTTGCCTCGGAACTTTTTTCTACAAATAAACAACTGTGAATATGAATAAAGATGCTCCGTACTGCCGAACGGGATGTCGGTCACTGTCCCAGTTGAACATCAAGTTTGTGGAGTGTGTGAATTTAGGAATCATAGCGTCAATTTTTATTTCAGATGCGCTCAAAACAGCGGAAACATCGGAAAACAAAACAGAAACACAAAAAGACGATGATGAGAAGCTTGAGGAATATGTGAACGATCGCGGCATCAGATTCACTCCGCAAGAGGATACAGTCGAGCTGCAGCCCTATGGACTTGTTTGCGTGCGTGAGTTGTTCAGGTACGATTTTTAAATATAATTTTTGTAAGAAATGTTATCCCCACAGTGGGATTTTCTTCAGTATCGTGGAAGCGGCTTACATGCATAAATTACACACTACAATAACTTTTTCAAAAATTTTACAGGGCATTAGCAAAACAGAAATAGATTTAAAATTAGTGGGGTCCAGTGTACTACCAGATTTAAATAAAAGAATAACTTTACTATGTGTCATAAAATCAGGAAACACGCCAGATTCGATACTAGTACTAAAAATAATAGTAAGTTTGGGTGCGATTGTATCTATTATAGACGATCACAACTTTAACGGAAATCTCCCATAGATCTGCTGTTATAATATTTCCTAGTATTTTATGAAATGCAAATTCCTTTTTTACAGACATTTATATTTTGTTTGAGTAATGACTGGGCAACAGCAGGGGAGGAATTCAGTGACTTAGTAGTCAAAATCGGAATATCGGTAAAACATTGTTCAAATGCCGTTGCAACATCTTGATCTGATTTCGTTAAATTAGTGTTCAAATTTAATTGAAATTTTGAGTTGTGTTGTTTTTATTTCCTAGTTTCGCTATTGATTATAATCTAAGCCATTTTAATTTTATTTAAGGCATTCTTAATTTTGTTTCTTATTTGTAAAGACTTGGTTATGGAACACACGTTTTTTTAAATATTTTGGGATTTTCTTTTTACATAATATCTAAGTGAGAATATTATTCTCTAAATGAAACATTATGATTATCTGATGTATTAATGTAAAGGTCATATAACTTTTGTCTACTATGGATCCCTACTGGCGCCCGTTTATTAAACGATTTGTAACTATTTAAAGAGAGTGTTTTAGAATGGATGGATTTCATTTAGTCATTCGTTACAGTCTGTTGAAAGTCCAATACTTAACGTAAGCTTCCCCAATAGATTGTCCCTTCGATGGATGCGATATATTTGGCGTACGTGCTACTCTTGTTGGGCAGATTGTAAACAACAGTTTTCCATCAGTCCATCTCATGTTTCAGTCCCTCTGATTACCTCTTACGACACTCACGGGGATGGTACAGAATAGTGGATTCTTAATAGAATCCACTATTCTGTACCTTTACCTTACCTGTCTTTTGGCATCTAGCTGTGGCATAATTGCCACACCTAGATGCCAAAAGAGTATTGGGATTTATCAGGATTTGAGGTTTATTATTAAAAATAGCGAAAAGATTGGATGAAGTCCATGTCCAGCTGTGGTCTGGCTGGCAATAAGTGATAAGAGGAAGGCGACGTGCAGCGCTGTTTGTTCTGCGGCAGGTTCTTAATATCGCTGAGCAACCCGCTGGAGCCGCAGAACACGTCGGCCATGGTGCAGCTGGGCCTGAGTCTGGCCGGCACTGCACTCGAGGTGGCTGCCGACCAGCTGGCGCACTACCCGGCGCTGCTGCAGCTGGTGCGCGACCCGCTCTGCAGGAACCTGCTCAGCGTGAGTACTGTGCGTTATGTGCTGTGTGGCGCTGTGGCTTGAGCTAGCCGCCGACCAGCTGGTTTGGACCAGATTAGCATAAGTAAATTTTTCGAAATTTAGTCTAAATTCGATCCTCGTTCGAATTGAAATTTAGAAAGAATGTATTCGTTGATGAAACATTTAATTGTGGTTAGAAAGAATTTATTTGTTAATGAAACTTGTAATTTCGCATGTTTTTGTAATACGAGGAGTATTACAAAAAAAAAAACGCGAAATTACAAGGTTTCCTCGTTGAAATTATGTATTCTGTTCGTTGCTTGAATACAATTACTTGGTAAAAATAGTTCGTTTTCTCTACTACAATAAGCTCAAGGCAAATTTTAGATAACTTAGTTATTTATTTAATAATGATCATTCTCAATACACATGTTTAGTAGAGTTGGGCCGATTAGCCGCCGACTAATCGGTGAAGCCGATCAATCTGCCTATTTGTAGCCACCGATTAGTCGGCGATTAATCGGCTAAAACGGCCGATTAAATCGGCTTTTAATTTTATTGATTTCAGCAAAGGTTTTTCGTGATTTTCTGTGTGATAACTGCGGCTACATTGATATGAGTAAAGCTTTAAATTTAAGAAAAGTATAGTTTCTCTCCCATGCGTAAACTCACGTCAGATTTATATGTAGGTAAATCAAATAAATTATAAAATAAGTAGGTTCATACATAACTTTTATTGAAAAATCAGTCTCACATGTTTTAATGTTAATTATTTTTTTCCCTTTGCATAACTAAAAAAACTTAATTCTTGAATAAAGTTTGTTAAACTACACGCATATAGATTTATCAAAGACAAATCGAACATATTTGTTTCTGTACTTAATACTAAATTGTTATTTATTTCGTACTAAAAATTAAATCAAAGTGTTATTTTTGTGTACTTAAAATTACAATAAATTGTTTTTTTCCCTGTAATGTTATTAAATAAAGAATCTAAAATCAACTTATAATTTGTTAAAAAGAAATACTCAATTTGAAAAACTATTGAAGGTTTTTAGAAAATATTTAATTTATTTGTTATTTTTTACCAGTGGCAAATTGTGATGCAAAAAGGCCAAAATCTCAGCCTTTTCTGGTTGAAGTCGATTTCTTTGCCTCAGAAAAAAGTCTCTCACCATACACAGAGCTGGCGGGGCAGCAAAGGAAAACTTTGGCTAAACGGGACATTTCTGGATATCTGGAAGAATTTTTGTTCCACCATTTGAATTTATCATCGGATAGGGATCGGCTGGGCCGATTAATCGGCCATTTCTTAACCGATTAATCGGCTAATCGGCCAATCGGCCAAAGTACTAATCGGCCCAACTCTAATGTTTAGGCTAAAACTCTGAGAGACATGATTTGGGAGCTCCAATTTATGGATTGTATTGAATATTGACGATCGAAAGAATGTTTTGAAGTCACAAATATCCTATACTTTAATTATTACTAAATATATTTTCGTTATATGCCACGTAAGGAAAAAAATCGACATAATTCAATTATCTAACGAAAAAGCTTCGATACAAGCCCCAATATCTCCAAAGTTCTACATCATTTTGACGTAAAATTTATACCAAAATAATCATGAACATTTGCTTAAACTCTACCATGATTTTTACTTTTTAAATTGTTACTATTATTTTTTAATTAACTAAATAAAAGTACCATATATTTCACTGCGCCGGCCCTCTGCGTTCAAAAGGGTCTCGTCGAGGTCGGACCTTTATTAATTTATTTACTTGGTAAGGCGAAACTTTAAATGTTCTACGTGTATAGAATACAATTATTTCACTGTTTTGTACTATTCTAACCAGTGTTTGACTATTATCCCACCTGATGGTGATGATGGTCGAAGATGACTTACCACAAACCTATTACTTTTGTCTTGAAGACACCTGTATTGTAATCGGATGGAAAGACGGATATGAACAACTTATTCCACTCCTTTGCTGTAAGTATGATGAATGATGTAGCAAACCGTTGAACTAAAACGTTAGTTAGTAATTAGGCCCTATTACCTATAGAGAGCACGTATAATTACAACCTGTAACTATAAGGTATTCCATCTTAATCTTTCATTTGTTCTATGTATATTAACAAACATGTTTATTTTTCAGTTGCTGGACACAGAAAGGATCTCAATATTTGCGTTGGATTTGCAAATATCCTTTCTCCTCTTTGAATCACTGCGGTTCCATCTGAAGTTCCAAATGGAGGCATTCTTCAAAAAAATCATAGAGATCGTATCCGCAGACACATCGAAGTCTATTTACGAACTGAAAGAGATTCACCATTTGGCGTTAGAAAGTCTAGCCCAAATGTTCAGGATACCTGGATTCTGTACAGAGCTTTATTTGAACTTCGACTGTGATGTGTATTGTATGAATATATTCGAAGAGCTAACGAAGCTGTTATCGAAGAATGTTGTATCCGCAACCGCTTACAACATCCATACTTTATCATTGGAGGCGTTGATGACTATAATCGAAGCGATAGAGATGGGTACACAACAGAAGATTGAGAAGAGCGAGATAGAGATCCCGGCGGTAGAAGAGACAGAAAGCTACGGGAGGGGTGGCCATGTGTCATTGGAGCTGGGGGGAATGGATGACGCGTCTGTAGTCAGTGACCATGTGACGCACGACATTAGTCAGTACTTTGCTGGAGCGAGGACCGGCCGACACAAGCCTTCTGCGAATCTGCCCACTGAGGCTGAGCTGGATAATATTAAGAATATGAAGACGGTAAGCACATTTCTAAAAAACGTAACAATAATTTTATACTAACTGATGATTGCTGCCGCAGAATATTTAATTGTGGAAACATCATTTTAAATTTGGAATAGTTATATTGTTTAATTAGAATTGATAATACTGTCAAATCAATTTGTTGATACGATACGCGAGTCAAACACTACGTAGATATCTGTATATATGTATCTGTATCTGAGCGCATGTATTTCAGTATTGATCTCAATGAAAATCAATAAATTAACACACACAGCTTAGATAATTTATATTTTATCATTAAGTATCTGTAGGCACCGATATATATCGAAATATGGTGACAATATTGTTGCGTGCCTAAGTTAACGTCTGATACCTGGTACTAGCGCCATCTAGTATCGAACAGAACACTCGAACCTTCTTCGCCTGGTCGGTCGGCGCCCGCATTTGCTGGAATATTCTGGATCATACAACAGCTCATACAAATATATCAGTAGATACAAATATGGCATAGGCTTTTACTTGCAGATAAATGCAGGATTGTCTCTGAAAAATGCTATTAAATTAGCCTCAGTCCTTTTTAAGCTTTATATGACGTTTCATCCAAATTCTTTGCCTTTTAGTAAATGCTAATGCAACACGTGTATGAAAATCACAATCTGAATCCTATTGTGACGGGCTGTCTAGTAAATCTAGAAGTTCCAAAAAAAACACGCAATCTGCATTTTGATTTTTGATCAAGGATAAATGTAGATGTCTACTATGGGTCAAAGCTTCCACTTACCATCAGGTGGACTGTGTGCTCGTTTGTCACCCTTATTCTATAAAACAAGTTCTATGTTCGGCAGCGGACTTTACAGGTTGTAATAAAGATGAATGAATTTAAGGAAAACATCGCGAGGAAACCTACACGTGTGAGAAATTAAACACATGTTTCGAAACATGTGTAGTTCGCCATCACGCATTGGGGTAGTGCAGCAGACATTTTCTTGCCCTTTAACCCTCTCAGAAATGGGAGGAGGCCTGTCCCGGATTGCATATTATATTAAGCCACGTAGGACAATAATCCATCTTCCCTTCATTTTATATTCTTTGTCATCTCTTAAACTGTTCACTGTTGGACAGGGATCTCATAAAACCATAGAATTACTTTCGTATGTATATCACATTATGTAGCAATTACATATAAGTATGTATGTAATTGCATCTGTCCCAAAATCTCATCACTCGACGAGCTAACTGACAGAGAATGCCGGTAGGTATTAAGTCCGCACTTTGTTACCCCATTTATTAAAGTCTTAACAATAAAGATTATAAAATAAAGTAAATAAAACTTGATTTGTTGCAGTGGGTGCGGCAGGGCACAGAGCTGTTCAACCAGAAGCCGGAGCGCGGCATCGAGTTCCTGCAGGAGCACGGCGTACTGGCCAGCCCGCTCGACCCTCACCAAGTCGCTATGTTCCTACGGGAAAATCCCGACTTGGATAAGAAAATGATAGGTGGCTGTCAATTCTTCTTTTAAAACGTTACCCCTATACTACGATTTTCTCCTGTATTGTAGGGACAGTACATATATAAATTTCACAAGGACATCATCCGCAACATCCAGACTCGGCTCAATTATTTGCAGGATATACAAATAATTGTTCCGTGCGGGATTTGAACCTGTGACCCTCAGCGTTGCAACTCATTCCTAAGTCCCAGTTAACATTTTGAGAAGTGACAAGTGCAAGTGGCAAGTGAGAAGTGACAAGTGCGTATTTTATTCCCACTTATAACTTGTCACTACCTGTTCACACGCACTAAGCACTTTCATTTGTCAGTTGCACTTGCCACTCGCACTTGTCACTTCTCAAATTTGTAAACCGGGCCTTAGTCACGGAGCCGTCAAATATGACTAAGTGGATTTTGATCCTAGATTTAAATTCAAGAAGAAAAATTCTTTATTATAGCCCTTCAATTAACGACAATAGGCGAATGACGGATTCAGATGCACCAGTTACAAGGTACGGACAGAAAAATTAAAAGTTTTTCTGTCCGTACCTTGTAACTATCAAGCGTATGTTATCAAATTATGCCTTAAAAGTCTAACAAGTGATGTGATTTTACATATATATTTATTTTATCTTTATATACTTACTTTAATAGCTTTTTCAGAACGTGTTTTGCTGGATCATGGAGTCTGTAAAATGTTACTTCGGCATTTTAGGAATGAATATACCCCTTAGGATAGCCTAAGGGGTAACTATTGTAAAATATTTTATTAAACTGGAAATCATTGTGTTAATATTTATTCTATAGCTGATGGTATCCTGTATACTTTGCATAAAAAATCACAAAAAAATTATCATCAATATTGCAACTTTTCAAAGTCCACTGTTGGACTTCGGCTTACAATTGCGGAACACGTAGTTTTATAATTCAATAACAGGCAAATGAACCGAGGTAGCTCAGTCTCTAAGCGCCCGCTTTAAATTTTACAGTATGTTAACAATCAGGAATCAGAGTTCGATCTTCACTGGCACTATTTTATCCGAAAAACATGAAGATTTTTTTTTGAAATTGAATAATTAATAAAATTAATGAAATGAAAAATGGATGCTGCAAAGCACCCGAAGCGTCGGGAATTAAATATAAGTAAAATTAAACGCTATAAAATCCGTAAAAATATTTTTGTTTCATATGTAGCGTTCACGTAATATAAGAAATCATTAAAATAAATGGTTTTTCATGAGAGAAAAAAAATAATAAAAGATCCATGCGAAGTCTAGGTCGTGTCGTTAGTAACAAGTAAAAAAATATTGCCATAGGCGAGTACATCTGCAAACGGTCGTCGCGGGGCGAGGAGGAGGGGTGTATGTCGGTGCTGACTGCGTTCGCGGAGAGCTTCGAGTACTCGCAGCTGCGCATAGACCAGGCGCTGCGCCTCTACCTCGAGACCTTCCGACTGCCCGGCGAGGCGCCGCTCATCTTCCTCGTCATGGAGAAGTTCGCCGAGCGCTGGCACGTCAGTACACGCATACACTCCTGCACCTGACACTCTTACTCTCTCTACCTCGAGACCTTCCGGCTGCCCGGCGAGGCGCCGCTCATCTTCCTCGTCATGGAGAATTCGCCGAGCGGTGGCACGTCAGTACACGCACACACTCCTGCACCTGACACTCTTAATCTCTCTACCTCGAGACCTTCCGGCTGCCTGGCGAGGCGCCGCTCATCTTCCTCGTCATGGAGACGTTCGCCGAGCGCTGGCACGTCAGTACACGCACACACTCCTGCACTTGACACTGTTACTCTCTCTACCTCGGGACCTTCCGGCTGCCCGGCGAGGTGCCGCTATGTGGTGCAGTTATTTTGAACATTCACAAACCACATGACAAATTGCTAAGATTTTCATAGTCTGTGAAAGGTCTATGAAGCGAAATGTGTAAAACATTTTTTAAATGTGTATTGGCATGGCTTCTGGGCTTTTAAGTCATTGTAAAACGCGTTCCGTCTCCAAAAGTCTATTGAGAATGATAAATATAGTAATATTACTTTTTCTTGGCTTTATTGGAAAATTCAATTATGCGATACGAAACAAGCAAAATAAAGGCAATTTTATAAGATATTTTACATCACTAGACGCGTTAGAAAATTTTCTGGTCAAAATTGGATATGATTCTTTTTGTAACATGTGGATGTGATTTCATCATTATATCTGGCAGCCATTTCGAGTATACTACTGGATATAGACTTATGCATGTCAGCGTGTACATATTCTTTTTTTCATTAAAAGTATTTTTTGCACTTTGTATTTAACACCATCCACCATCTAAATTTTCATCATTTCAGACTACTAACGGCGAGCCGTTCGCGAACACGGACGCAGCTTTTCGTCTTGCTTACGCCATCATCATGCTTAACATGGACCAGCACAACCACAACGCGAAGAAACTGAATGTGCCCATGAATGTTGATGATTTCGTTAAGAATCTGCGCGGTTGCAATGGCTCTGGAGACTTCGATCAGGCTATGCTCGAAGCTATATTCCACTCTATCAAGTGAGTATACAAGATGATCTACACAAGATTAATTTGTATAAAATTTACTACATGTTGAAAATCTGACCGATGTGTTTTTAAATGGGGAAGAACTGAGCCCTGTTGTATCTTCTGTTTTTCTTCGCATCACTCGACACAAAGCTTCAGTGAGGCCCCCATATACCCAAAGTAGCAAGCAGACTAATCTCTGCAGCTTATGCTGTAAGAGGTTAGAGATCTCACTAGTGTCATGACAGCTAGAATAGTTTATTTCAGTTATTTCTATAACATAATGTCTTAGGCTCAATTTACACTGCTGCGGAACGGAATGGACCGAATTTTTGCAACGGAATTGTAGATAGTTAAATGAGTCTTATGTTAATTATGTAACGCGCAAACTAGGTATGAGCCCAAAAAAAGTCGCGCGTCTTCCGGGGAATTTTCAAGGATTCCTGTAGCTACTGTCGGCGAAGGCTTAGGAAATAGCTAGGCAGAAATAGATAGGCAAAATTCCCGAATATTAAAAAAATACATAAAACTAATTAATCCTACGACGTGCGCATAAAACTAAAAATAGGTTACGATCGCTAGTGAATGAAAGTTGTAAGAGCAAGCGAGACGCATGCACATTCTTCGTTATGTAGGCGTCAGGTGGCCGAGTGGGAGGGGAGCGGCCACATCGTTGCAGCCAAAATTTTAGAATAATCTGAGAGCGCATTACGTTACCAAAAATTATTTTTCTCTTATAGGTATTTAGGCACTTCTGATATTTATTTGGACTGCCTCGTTGTTGTACTGACTGTCTACGACTGTCTAGTGGTTGTAGTAGTGTGCCAGCTGATCATGAGGTCTTGGGTTTTTCCGTCAACAAATTCTCAGTAGCTGCTCGGATTTAGGAAATTAGCGTTGTTTCACCCCCGTGCTTCGGAAAGCACGTAAATAAGTTGGTTAGTGGTGGTTTTTTTTGCCTATGATGTCGATGACCTTAAATGTTCAGTGTAAGTAGACCTCCCAGTGCTAGTTACTGCTAGATAATCAGCATATACTGGTTTTTGTAAAATACTTGATCAATAAAAGAAAGAGATTTGAAATAGCATCACCTTTCATTGCCACTCTTTCATTAATAATGCCGTCGCTTATCGCATGTTTGTAAATAGCAAAAAATATGACACTGAAAATGGTAAGTAAATTAACTTTCGTTTCAGATTATTATTTTTGTGATTTCGACCTTTTCTTCATACTTTTACGGGCTTAGGACAGTCTAACATGCTGTAGTTGAGTAGAATTACATGTTAAATTTTATTTTGCTTTATAATGTATTGATTAAGTTTCTAATAATAATTTTTATGCCTACCTTATACTGCAACATCTTAGCGTATTTAAAAGATCGAAATTAACTTATTTACAAACTACAGTGATTAATATTTACAAAACTATACTACATTATTGTTATTTACAAATAAAAATTACCTTTTTGGCGATATCGCAGTAATTGTTCAAAATGACAAAATGTAAATTGTTTGCTCTTACAACTTTCATTCACTAGCAATCGTAGCTTATTTTTAGTTTTACGCGCACGCCCTAGGATGAATTGAATTGAAAAAATACATAAAAGTATTTTTTTCCATATTCGGAAATTTCGCATATCTATTTCCTAAGACTTCGCCGACAGTAGCCACAGGAATCTATCACCGGGAGGGCGACCATCTGTCCCAAGGAGGTGTCGGATTTATCGTCCACAAGTCTCTCGTCAATAACATTGTTAAGATTGGGAGTGTGTCGACGAGGGTCGCGTACCTGATACTCAGAATCACCAAACGGTATTCGCTGAAGGTCATACAGGTCTACGCACTAACCTCGGCACATCCCGATGAGGAGGTGGAGGAAATGTATGAGGATATTTCTAGAGCCATGCATTCCTCCAAAACCCACTACACAGTGTTGATGGGAGACTTCAACGCAAAACTAGGCACAAGAGAAGGCGGTGAGCTGAAGTTAGGGAAATTTGGAGTAGGGCAACGGAACCGTAGGGGCCAGCAGCTGGCTGACTTTATGGACAAAGAGGGACTCTTTATGATGAACTCTTTCTTCCAGAAGCGGCCCCACAGGAAGTGGACCTGGTCGAGCTCCGACGGTTCGACAAAAAATGAGATTGACTTCATTATGACGACCAGACACCAACTGTTCAGTGATGTCTCAGTGATCGCAAGGATGAAAACCGGCAGCGATCACCGAATGGTTAGAGGCACACTGAACCTTAACGTTAAGTTGGAGAGGTCTCGTCCAATGAAGTCAACGCTCCGTCCCCCTCGTGCTCTGATCCAGAATCCCGAGACTTTTCAGCTCGAGTTACGTAACCGCTTTCAGTGGCTAGAAGATTGCAATGCAGTGGACGATATGAATGACAAGCTCGTGGAAACTGACCATGTGGTTGGAGCTAAGTTCTGCGAGACCCGCCGCAGAACACAAAAACTCTCCGATCACACTCTTAATCTCATGGCTGTTAGACGGGAGATGAGGCTGCAATCGTCAACAGATTTGACAGCATACAGGCAACTGAACTGACAGATCTCCAAATGCATGCGGCGAGACTTACGCAACTTTAACACTGCTCGTATTAAAGAAGCGATCGAGCGGAACCAGGGCTCCAAAGTCTTTGCCAGAGATCTGTCTGCCAGAAAGAGCCAACTGTCAAAGCTGAAGACTGAGTGGCAGCATCGTTTCCGAGACACCTGAGATTTTGAGTGAGATTGAGAGATTCTATGGGCAGCTGTACACATCATCGTTGGAGCCACACGCAAGTGTGAGTAACGATCCAAGAGCAAGTCTTACCCGACACTATTCCCGATGATATCCCGGACGTCAGTCTGAGCGAGATTAGAATGGCTCTCCAGTACCTTAAAAACGGCAGGGCCCCAGGCGAGGATGGAATTACAGCGGAGCTTCTGAAAGCGAGTGGAACTTGAAATCCTTCAGAAGCTCTTCAATTCCGTCCTCCATGGTGGCACTACTCCGGAGGAGTGGAGCAGAAGTGCGGTGGTCTTGTTCTTTAAGAAAGGCGACAACGCTCTCTTGAAGAACTACAAACCGATTTCCCTTCTGAGCCGCGTCTACGTGCTGTTTTCGAGAGTCATTACAAATCATCTCGCACGCAGACTCGACGACTTCCAGCCTCCCGAACAAGCCGGTTTCCGAAAAGGCTTCAGTACCATAGATCACATACATACCCTGCGGCAGATTGTACAGAAGACCGAAGAGTACAATCTGCCACTTTGCCTGGCGTATGCGGACTATGAGAAAGCCTTTGATTCCGTCGAAATTTGGGCGGTGCTACAGTCCTTTCAGCGGTGTCAAGTTGACTGTCGGTATATCGAAGTGCTGAAGTGTTTGTACAGTAGGGCTACGATGGCTATCCGAGTACAGAACCAGAGCTCGAATACTATCCAACTGCAGAGAGGTGTAAGACAGGGTGACGTTATATCCCCGAAACTCTTCACCGCTGCGTTGGAAGACGTTTTCAAGCTACTGGACTGGAAAGGATACGATATTAACATGAATGGCGAGTACATCACTCACCTTCGATTTGCCGATGATATAGTCCTTATGGCAGAATCCCTGGAGGTCCTTAGCACTATGCTCAATGACCTCAATGGTGTCTCCCAACGGATAGGTCTTAAGATGAAATAAAAAAAAAATATGTCACACCTATGCCGGTAGTTGTTGGGAGCACTATGCTCGAAGTTGTTGACGAGTACGTTTACCTGGGACAAATAGTCCGACTAGGTAAGTCCAACTTCGACCGAGAGGTCAATCGACGGATTCAACTCGGCTGGGCAGCGTTCGGGAAATTACGACACATCTTCTCGTCAGGTATACCTCAATCTCTGAAAACTAAAGTGTACAACCAGTGCGTGTTGCCAGTGATGACTTACGGATCAGAGACGTGGTCCTTCACTGCTGACCGTATGAGGACGCTCAAGGTCGCTCAGCGAGCTATGGAGGGGGCTATGCTCGGAATTTCTCTGCGTGATAGACTCAGAAATGAGGATATCCGCAGTAAAACCAGAGTGACCGACATAGCCCAACGGATTAGTAAGCTGAAGTGGCAATGGGCCGGCCATATAGCTCGAAGAACCGATAACCGATGGGGAAGAAAGGTTCTCGAGTGGCAGCCTCGTACCGGTAGGCGTAGTGTAGGGCGACCCTCCACTAGATGGAGTGACGATCTGGTAAGACATGCAGGAATTCGATGGATGCAGGTAGCTCAGGACCGTGCTTTGTGGCATTTCTTGGGGGAGGCCTATGTTCAGCAGTGGACTTGTGAAGGGCTGTAATGATATGATGATAATGATGCAGAGTTAGAGAACGATTTTTTTAATGTCGGTGTAGTTGTCCAGTCTAGAAAGATTTGAAACAAGAATTTTTGGTCAGTCAGATTCCAGCCACTCTCAAGTGATAACCAATAAACAAAGTGCTCAAAAACTAATCTTGAATAGTGAATATAATCTAGAAAATTATTTTCTGGTATATACATAAAGACATTCCGTGCAGAGTTTCAACGATTTTTTAAATTTCAGTGTAGTTGTGCAGTCAGGAAAGTTTTGGAACTAGATATTTCGTTTGCTGACAGTATATAAGCCGGAGTCAAGGCTTTTTTTGTCAGTCAGATCTCATTCACGATCAGAAAATCAACAAGTGAATGATGGCAGCATCATAAGTTATTAAAAAATAAATTAAAATATTAAATAAAATTGCCTAAGCTTAAAAGTTTTAAAAGTTTATTTGTGGCAATATAATTACGAAACAATGTTTTGTATTCCGCTACTAGGTATTTCAAGGTGAATGTTGCTAAAAACCTCTTGTTTATCATTATTCTCATAGTATTTATATTTGCTAGGCCTTTTTCTGTTTGTTTTCCTTTCCATGTTGCCAGTAAAGAGTTTCGCAGTTTCGTTAGCACATAAAAAATAAACCCTTTATAAATTTTAAGATTTCACAGATAAGTTTTGTAGATCAGTACATACCGTAACACACTACCCTGCGGCACATCGTATATTATTTGGAGGTTATCACTGATATACTACAATTCTTACATTTTTCTTGCGACTACTTAAGCAATCTCTCAAAACTTTCAGTCGGTTTTATCTTAATCCAATGCTTTTAGGCTTTTGTACTATAGTAGGAAAAGCGACGGAGTCAAATGTCTTTTTTAGTCTATAAACACATTTGTCATACATTTATTTCTACTCTTTGTTATTAAAGAATTAATTCTCGGTAAGTAAAATAAATGTCTGTGATCTAATAGATGTGTGTGTATCCACATATCATCTGGTGCAGTGTGTGCGTGAGTGTCATCGTACCATGTACAATAGTGTGGTGGGTGGTGCGCAGGAATGAGGAGATGGTGATGCCGGCGGAGCGCGTGGGGCCGGTGCGCGACGCGTACCTGTGGCGCGTGCTGCAGCGCCGCGCGCGCACACCCGCCGCCGCGTACCGCGCGCCGCCCGCCAGCCACGCGCTGCACGCGCGCCTACTGCCCGCCGCCTGCCCGCCCGCCGTACGTACGCTTGCACACACGCACACATATACACACGCACACATAAACGCCATATACACACGCACGCAAACACACTGCTACGCGCTGCACGCGCGTCTGCTGCCCTCCGCCTGCCCGCCCGCCGTACGTACGCTTGCACACACGCACACATATACACACGCACGCAAACACACTGCTGCCCGCTACGCGCTGCACGCGCGCCTGCTGCCCTCCGCCTGCCCGCCCGCCGTGTGTACTCATGCACCCACGCACACATATACACACGCACGCACACACACACCGCCGCCCGCCACGCGCTGCACGCACTCCTGCTGCCCGCCGTCTGCCCGCCCGCCACGTGCTGCACGCGCGTCTTCTGCCCAACCGCCGTACGCAATAGACCGCACACTGCAACAGTGTCTTCTTGGATGACAGTTTCAACTTCCTATTTTGACACTTGAAAGTGGTGCCATTTTATTTTTTATTTGTCTACGCATGTAAGCTATTAACGAAAACTATAAAGCAAATGTTTCAGTCGCGTCATGGTAAACACCTCAACATTGGATCCATCCATACACATTTTCAGCTAATCTAAATTGCCATTTTCTAGGTGGGATTAAAGTCAAGCACCGCATCATAAAAAAATAAGCACATTTAAATAGTTATTAGATTTCGGTATTTGATGACAAAAATGTTTTTTTTAATTGCAGAATTTACTCACTACTTTTAAATTTGTAATAAAATTTATATGAAAATAATGTGTGGAGGCTTGTAAAAAAAAGTTACAGCCAATATACGTCTCGCTTCTGGGCACAGGCCTCCGCTCATTTCTGAGATGGTTTTAGGTTATAGAATAGTCCGCCGCGCTACCCCAATGCGTGTTGGCGAACTTCACATGTCTTCGAAATATTTTTTTTTTCTTATTTCTCAACATGCAGGTTTCCTTACGATGTTTTCCTTCACCGTCGAGCACGTGGTAAATCAGCACTTAAAATTGCAATTAACAATTTCATTGGTGCCGGCAGGGATCGAACCCGGTTTGTCCGCGTACTGTGAAATTTACTGCGAGCGCTAACTATGTGAGCTACCACGGCTCATGTGGAGGCTTGTAATTAGTAGTTTTTATTACCATTTTGTAACTGTATTAAAGAATTTCTCTGGTAAGCTTTTTAAAATTAATAAATAAATAAGTTATAATTATTAAACTATTGTAGGTGTCAGCACTGTCGGCGGCATACGAACGCGCTCCTCAACCGACGATCGAGGAAATAGAAAGCAACTCGCGAGACTGCATCGCTCTGGTGGCTCTGAATGGCCTCGAGCGTTGTGCGGCCCTCGTCGCCAGGCTGCAGCCGGACACCATGACCTTAGACACGCTGTTATTGACGCTGTGCAAATTCAGTGGCCTGCTGGCACCGGTACAGGCCGGCTATATTGCTGTTGGTATGAATACTAAGTAATTATTTGATTTCATACTCGTTAATTCCTACTCTTTACTTCAATATCCCATTATAGGAAAGATTTGCCATAATTGCTAAGCTTGGCAAGAGGATTTGTGATCGCTTTAGATATCTGTATCCATAGATGCTATTTCCTATCGTTTGTCTAGGTATTTGATATTTCATTTGATGTGATGTGTAAATTGTAATAATCTGTTATTTTAAAAAGGCCCGTAAGGTTTCTTGCTGGTTCTTACCTAGACATGCATTTTCCCAACCAAATGTTAAATTATAAAATTATTCATTAAATATTATTTATAACGAATAAAAGAAATATTATTTTATTCATGTAGTATAATAGGATCCTATTTAAAGCACAGGGTACTATCAAATCATAGTTAAATACCGCACATAAGCAACTAGTATCCTACGATCTTATGCGATTATAAAAAGTTTAAGAAAAATCTTTGCCTTCTTATAGGTCGGTGTAACCATCTATTTTTCGCAGATTTAAAATTCCTAGACCGGTAACCTTGAACGAATTAACCACTGGACCCGACATAAAACGCAAATGTATGAAAACTCGTTCAACCAAGTGGAGAATATCGCAAACAAAGATTTTATTACATTAATATAAACACAGATAGAAGTTCACTCTATTTCTAGTGCTTGATCGTAGTCGATAAAATATATCGATGAACGAATGAGAAAGAAAAGGCGTAACGTAAATAAGCTGCAAGACAAAGGAAATAAAGGGATAATTAAGGTGAGATAAGCTTCCGGTATTTAAATTTTAATTAAAATAAAAGAAGCAGGACATTGTTATGGACTTTTTATTCAATTAAAGTTATGATAAAGGTCAAATTTTTAATATAGTTTAAATTATTTAAATAGGTTTACTGACTTTTATTATGTATCATCTTCCTTAAAATGTGTTTCTTAGAATTTGTTTTGTTCGCTTGTTTTCTTGTATAAGCAATTCTAATATTTAAATACTTTTCAGGAACGGCTTTCGTTAATTCTTCGACGTGATTCACGTCGTCGTTTTAAAATTGTAGATTGTGTAAAATTGTCTTCGTACAATGGAAGTTGCAGCAATGTTTTTGTTACTTTCGGCAGGAGAAAATCTGTTGTGTAATCTTTTTTTAGTCTTTTATTCTGAAGACCCTTCCTAAGTAATTCGAGTTAGCAGTGCTAACAAATAGCTATGGTATCACTTGAGGGAAGTATCAGTTTTCCCTTGCCTTTATGAGCAATGAGATTGCCTTCATTGGTGTCATTTTCTGTTTCTTTGCATTATTATTAAAACAGGCAGTATCGAAATGTACACTGCATATGGCGCTGTGTTTCCTCGGAATCCAGATTTCATCTCTACGAACTGCTTCTACCTACTTTCTCTTCCCAGAAGAGTCACTGGGAAATCTGAAAATTCGTGTAATTTATGTGCTTAAATATTTTAAGTACAGATACTAATTATAATTTTTGCATTTATAAAAATTTTATTTAATTATAAAAATTATTATTATAAATTTAATGACATCCGATTGTAGGATACTGTTATATAAGTATTTTTAAGTGTTATTGTATTGTACAAATAAAATCATCATTCGTTCGGTTATATCGTCAAATATCGATATATTTTTCGACATGGTCAAGCAATAGTCGATGTCAAATTGACTCACTCCACAGTTTTAGTCAGGTGTTCTGAATGGTATAATCCAGCCATTTTGTGATGGTTGTCAGATGTCAACAATACATAGAAATATCGACTACATTTAACATAGTTAGATAATACAGAATTTTATTTTACATTTGATTAAATTTTGTGATAAATAACAATAAATGTAATAATGTACTAATAACAAAAATAATGTACTTACAAGTGAAAAGAAATAGTGCTGCTTCCGCCGCTATAGTTTTTACACCAATTAACTAAACATTTAGCCATTTTTGGGAGATGTTTTGGTGACAAGTAAGTGCTTGAGACTGGTGCAAAAACAAACGACCAAGGCTAGAATTTCCTGGTTACCGACAAGACCGGTATAGATACGTCCGCTTATATGTCGGGTCCAGTGGTTAATTCGTTCAAGCCGGTAACGATCGAAGTGTCAAAGGTGCTTACGTCAGGCACTGCAATCAACATACTGCTAATGAAGAGTGATAATTAAGACAAATCCTTCCTACAACGGCAGTAGTCTATATTCAGCAGTGGACTTAAACAAGTTATTGTTGAAGATGAAGACACTATCGTAATAGTCTGAGTAATGCAAGAAATGGTTGATCCACTAGGAGTGTCGCTGGGGCAGTCCGCGAAGGCGCAGCTGGCACTGCGCCGCGCATGCGCAGTGGCGGCGCGCCACGCGGACTGCGTGCGCGACGCTTGGCGCCACCTGCTGGAGCTGCTGCACACGCTGTATGTCGGTCGCCTGCTGCCCGCTGTGAGTACCCACCCCCAGCTGCACGCGCCAGGCGCCACCTGCTGGAGCTACTGCACACGCTGTACGTCGGTCGCCTGCTGCCCGCTGTGAGTACCCACCCCCAGCTGCACACGCCTGGCGCCACCTGCTGGAGCTACTGCACACGCTGTACGTCGGTCGCCTGCTGCCCGCTGTGCGTACCCACCCCCAGCTGCACGCGCCAGGCGCCACCTGCTGGAGCTACTGCACACGCTGTACGTCGGTCGCCTGCTGCCCGCTGTGAGTACCCACCCCCCGCGGCCCGCGCCAGGCGCCACCTGCTGGAGCTACTGCACACGCTGTACGTCGGTCGCCTGCTGCCCGCTGTGAGTACCCACCCCCAGCTGCACGCGCCGGGCGCCACCTGCTGGAGCTACTGCACACGCTGTACGTCGGTCGCCTGCTGCCCGCTGTGAGTACCCACCCCCAGCTGCACGCGTCTGGCGCCACCTGCTGGAGCTGCTGCACACGCCGTACGTCGGTCGTCTGCTGCCCGCTGTGACTACCCACCCCCAGCTAGCTACACGCGCCTGGCACCACCTGCTGGAGCTGCTGCACACGCTGTACGTCGGTCGCCTGCTGCCTGCTGTGAATACCCACCCCCAGCTGCACGCGCCTGGCGCTACCTGCTGGAGCTGCTGCACACGCTGTACGTCGGTCGCCTGCTGCCCGCTGTGAGTACCCACCCCCAACTAAACGCGCCTAGCGCCACCTGCTGGAGCTGTTGCACACGCTGTAGGTCGGCTGCCTGCTGCCTGCCGTGAGTGGTAGTGCCGTGGGTGGGTACCCACAGCTGCACGCTATGTAGGCTGTAGGTGTCCATCGACTGCTTGAGCCACTTACCATCAGGTGGACTGCAATTTCGTTTATCAGTTCTACTAAAAAAGGAAAAAAGATATCCTAATAATACAACAACGTGACCGTGTAGTGGCGGTGTAAGAATATTCACTACCCCCATAATGTCATCCTTTGGGTGTAGTAAGTGGCGACAGAATTAACAAATCAGATGGGCAGCAGCGTCTTCCTAATAACGACTAAAAATAAAAAAACTGCGGTTGCCAACCCACTAGTCAAGCGTTGCAACTATGGTTAATATCTCCTTTATGAGGCCATCTATTGGGGAGGCCTATGTGCAGCAGTGGACTTTAATAGTCTGTTATGGTATAATATTAATATTTGAGGTCGGTTATTTTTAATATGGTAATTCAACATGGTCGCAAGTTGCAGTCGCTTCGAATTTTTTTTCATGATGCATGTATGAAACTGTATAATATGTTCAGTGCCTCGTGGAAGCGGAGGACTACTTGGCCCCCGGTGGAACCGTGTCACTCATACGTGAGGTGGCGAGAGGATCAGACGCGGGCCTGCTCTCCAGCTTGTATTCCTATATTGCGCTGGGGGAAACTGGTGAGGAATTTTTATTATTTTTATACCAATTATTTACCATATGTTTAAGTAAGACCTTATCAGATATTAATTTGTGAAAGAGTTGTATATTAATGTAAACATGTTAACATAATGTTATTGTTGCGCACCACAGTTGATGGCACTAGCGCCATCTGGTATCAAATATCAGAAATAGGAGTGTCAAGATCTTTCTAGAACTCTCCTAACAGCGCCATCTAGTATTGAATAGAAGAATTAAGCTTTCTAGAAAAGTCCACTCTCGAACTTTCTACACTTAGTCGGTCGGGACCGGTATTTGCTGTAACATTCTGGATGTTTCGGTGGAAAAGGCCTATTTAAGGCCATTGGAGGCCGCGACCGGGGCAGTATTGAATTGGCGATACGAGCGAAGCTTTCGGAGTAAAATAAAGTGAACTAAAGTGTTAAGTGTGAATAAATATTAGTATGAATTAAGTTTTAATTGGTGTTCAGTAATTAAAGTGTCAATTTTGGTACTTAAATCGGCAGTTTTTATTGTCACGAAACCTAAGCTCGTAATAATTGGTGTCAGAAGTAGGATAAAATCATGCCGATTTTACCTAAGTAGGAAACGGAGGGTGTCCGTACCCGAAGTCGACACCAGCAGGAGACGGACCAGAGGAGATTTGGTAGTGCAACGCCACAGACGTCGGGGGGCCAACTGCCAGCCACGGAGCCTGGCCCGTCAGCAGCTCCTACACCTGCAGCACCTGACTTAGGTGCTCTCATGATGCTGCTGCCGAAGAACAGGCTCGCCGACAGGAGGAACAGGCTCGCCGACAGGAGAAACAGGCCCGTCAGCAGGTGAAACAGGCACGCCGATTGGAAGAGCAGCTGCGGGGCGGACAGGAGGAACAGGCCCGCCGACAGGAGGAACAGCCCCGTCGTTTGGAAGAGCAGCTCCAACGCGATAAGGAAGAGCAGAGGCTCCCCATGAAGGACATTCACGCTACCTTCGGGGAAGAGAGGGTTGAAGAATATGGTTGCTCAGTATGACAAACGCCTGTCGGAAGCTGAGACCCGAATCGACCAAGTGAATAAAGTGATGGCTGACATGAAGAAAATGCTGGACGACCTCAAACTTGAGGATGGAATAACAGTTCCCGTGGTAGCTACAACACCTTCACTTCGTGGGTTTAAAGTGCCGCCGTTCGACGGGATTTCTTCCTGGTCGGCCTACAAAATCCAGTTCGAGGCTGTTATGAAGGCGAACGGCTGGAATAAACGTCAGGCCATGACTGCTCTTACACTAGGCCTGTGCGACCAGGCCTTAACTATGTTGGAAGCTCTCGGTAAGAAAGTGACTTACGAGCAGCTCTTTGAGGCATTGAAGGCCTTGATATGGCGACGCTCACCTGGAACACGTCTTTCAGCTCAGAGATCGCGTGCAACGCATCAACGAAAACCTGCAGCAGTGGACCCTTGAGGTGGAGAAGCTGTTGCGAAAAGCATACCTGTACATGCGCTCGTTAAAGGGAACCTGGTGCGTCAGATGCGGCTAACGGGCACCCGCAAGGACCCTACCATGCAAAAGGCGGCAGGATCATAGTTCTCCTCACGTTAGTGAGATTTTAGCACCTATAGTCCGCGACCACAATAAAAATTACAGCTCAAGGTGCTACAGCTGTGGGGAAAGGGGCCATCTTCGAGCCAGCTTCCCTAAGCGGTCTGTAAAAAGAGAAGGTGATCGATCTCGAAAGTGGTAGTGCGGCTAACGCCCAGCAGCGGCAGGAATACGACTTTACTATCTGACACTGCAGCGGAAAATGGCGTGGCAACACAGATGCATTGTCAAGAATACCTTATCCTGATGATTGCGAGAACAGTACTGGACAAGAGGGTAAGGAAGTGGTATCCATGAGGATGCTCAGGACAAACCACCTCAGCAACGAGTAGAGTTGGTAATTAAATCGGCAGTTTTTATTGTCACGAACCCTAAGCTCTTAACATTATTTCTATTTACTTTGTTCGCTTTGTAGTCTCGAATTATCGTTGATAATCACTTTGTGTGTCACATCACTTCAACTCACTCTCTCTCATTCTTAGTTGTTGTTTGCATGATATTGGTTAATATGCAGCTCGAATGGGTCGGCTGAAATGATAGAACACGGCTGTTACAGATAATAAAATAATGCTGCTGTGTACGCTGAGTGACGGGTCGATACGCTTTTTACTGGTAACGAGGCATTCTATATTAGTCGAAGTAGACGATATATGTAGGTTTTTATGGGCTGCATTTTCTACTTACCATCGAATAGACAGTGTGCTTGTTTATCACCTTATCTTCTATTATAAAATATTTAAAAAAACGGTACATCCACACTTTTATTTGGTACATACATACATTAGGCAAAAGCTAAAAAAAACAAAAAGCTTCCGATATATTCGACAATGGTCGTCGTGGTCGAAATTGGAAAGTTTATTTCTAATGTGTATTCAGCTATCAATTCTGTTTCAGTTCTTGAAAAATATTATTTATACCTATTGTGTTACAGGAATGAGAGCACCGACGCCCCACGAGAAGGTACTGATCGATGCGGCGACAGAATGCGTTGCGAAATGTAACTTCCCCGGTCTGCTCATCACCGAGACCAAGTTTCTGCAGCTGGAAAGCCTGCAGGTAGGTTCATCTAGCACTTTATTCATTTTACAAAAAAATTGACATGAAAAATCGACCTACTCACAACTAGAAATTTTAAGAATTAATATATAGAATTAAGAAAGAATTAATAAATATTATAATTAAAAAATTAAAGAAATACATTTAAAAATATCTTAAAATTATATAATTAATTTTTAGAATTAAAGACAATAAATAACCTGGCTTAATTATGTCATCATAACGCCAAGCACTTCGTTTCCATGACCAAGAGCACATGAAGGCACTCAAACGTCAGGCATTTAAAAAAAAGTAAATCGAATGAGCATAAACCCTAACATTATTTTTACTTTATGTCTTACTTCCTACTTGCTGTATTTGTATTTGTCTTAAATGTGATTAAAGGCTGTTTGTATGATATGTTCCTATGTCTGGATTTTACACACTTACCGAGTGACGATGCAAATTTAAAAAATTTCAAATCTATACTTGTGCTGGAACGTATATGTACAAATAAAATACCTTAAAATTATTCAGCACATATGATTCTTATGATGCACGAGCAATATTAACACTAACTATTGTTACGTGCGGGGGGAATAAAAATGCTGATTGGGATGAAAAATGATGTATTTTCCACACACAGCAAGTTTGTTATTACGTCGTCTAAAATTGCCTGGATTCTTCAGTGAGATCCTTAATAATCGCAGATGTCGTAGGTCAAATTCTCGTAATTGCTTGCCGGAGTAGAGTTCACTTTCGCGTTCCCGCTAACTAACTCTCCGCTCCCCGGCACATGCTTTTATACTCGATAAAATGAATATAGAACTTTCTAAGCCAATTCGGGTCGCTCCACTCTTTCGATCGGAAAGTTCTAGAACACTCGCGATAACATAACGATAACAATATCCAAACGAGAAGAAGCTTTATAAACGTATCCATAAGATTGATTCTTGTTTGCATTAATAGTCCGACCGTTATCTATTTTTATGGCTACACATTTTGTTATCGTCGGGTACATCCTCGTGCAATGTGACGCAATACGCAACTTACTGTCGTAACACTATGTAGTTTGATTTTCTCTCTATTTATATTCTCAATTTTAGTATTAGAGAAAATACATAAAAGTCATAAATAGAAAATAAATACAGATTATCTGTATTTATTTTCTATTTATTCAGTCAAACTTATCACTAACATTGCAACATTGTTTTTATATATTTTATTTAATATATAATGTAACATAGTATATATTTATTTGTACACTGTTTTGCATGCCTTTCTCATATAAATAATATAGTCAAGATTCGAAATTGACTCAGGACGTTTTTAAAAAGACTTTATTAATAAACTTATAACTATTAATGTGCGATACATTACTTATATACTACTTAATCCGCGATGGATTCTAACTTAAGGCTACATGTCCGATACATGTGCGAGCCAAACTAAGACTATCCTAATTCTTATTCTAGATCTTTAAGCTAAAGAACAGTTATCAGTATTCACAGGAATTAGGTTTAGTTTCTTTTTAAGTTTTTTGTTTTGTTAATTTCTCAGTATTCCCTTTAGATGTGGTAAAACTAATATCATTATTGTAATCTAATAGCGCTATAAGGAATAAATCAATATACATTTCATTAAGTTACGCCACAATTCGTGGTGGGCCCATTCTCCATACAAAAAGAAATTGTCTCCTTTCGTTTTATAATTTATTCTCTTTCTTTTTCTATATTAACACGTATAACACTACTGCTGCACGTGGAGCAATGTTCCGTCCCGTCCCACCCGTCTTCCAGACGCAATTCAGCAATCTACGCCCACGCTTACGCTTGAATTGTGATGGTCTCCGGTGCAGTTCCGGGAATACCGGGATGCATAACTATATTGACTTGGTTTTGCAGGAACTAGTCCGTGCTATGGTGGCTGTGGGAACTCCACCGGACGCGGAGAGTCTGCAGCTGAACCCTCAGTTAGAAGACATCACAATTTTCTTTTTGGAACTTCTGGGGAAGACACTTATACAAAATCGGTCAGTAATGACGAATGTATATTGATAATATAAAACAATTGCAAACTTTATCATAAATAGTTTATTTAAGATTTACGAGTTAAAATTCGTTTTTTGTAAAAAAAAATATACTCGGAAAACGAAATAATCAGTGCCATTATTTTCAAATTGATTGATTTTACATTGTATTTTTGGAGTTTGAAGAGTGCTTATACATACATAAATACTTACACCTGTCACCTGTGCAAAATTAAATTTATATTATATATATATTATTCAGCATTGTAAGTGCTGCATTTTAGAATCCGTTGTATGACATCGTATGAAACCTCGCGCATTTCACCCGCACCGTACGGGCCGTATTTTCTAAAATGCGGTAGGTAGCCGAATATTGAAGGAGGTATGGTATGCTGATGACATCATAAAATGCGACGCGTTTGAAGCGAGCAAATATTTAGTGTTGCCTAATGTTGCCAACTTTGCGGACTTTTTTAAACCTAGTGGTTTTTTAACAACCCTTCAAATGGAGAAATGTTGTTTACAGTAGGCTAATGTTTTTCTAGCCATTCAGTAGAATAAGGTTTTAATTAGTGGCAAGATGATCACTCCACCATTAACCCGCTTACACATTTCATAATATATTTACTTATACGTACTTCATATCAGGGGTATTTACCTTCATTGTGTAGGCGACATTGAATCGTTAGACAAGACATGCTTAAGACGATCCATACATCAAATGCAAATATCTGAAATATCGTTCATCATCATCGAAAAAGTCTCAATACTCAATAACTTTATTGCATTCCATAGGTTACAAAAGGTGTTACACAGTTGTTCAGTAAAATGTTGTTTTTATAATAAGCAAACCCGCCAGTAACGCAAGTATGCAAATATGTTCTGTGCATTTGAATGTCATCTCAGGGTCACCTATAACAGGTGTCAATTGTAAGTAAGAAAGCAATTAGTAGCAATTAAACACCAGTGCAACCAACAGATAGTTTTCTTTTACTCCGCGCCTGCAAACAAAAATAGACCCTAACGCTAACAACAATTTTATGGTATCTCTATAGACCCTCATGGGCACAGCAATATTATGAAGGAGGAACATTTATTTTGTTTTATTATTATTATTGCTAAATAATTATTTAATATTAACATTCATTATATTATATAAACATACACACATTGAATATGGAATACGGCTATTATAATTGTGATTATTTATTAATTGATTTTAACATTTTATATATTATTATAGGTAGCACAATTGAATTTTTATTAAATTATTTGAATCATTTTAAATTTTATTATAATTTTTTATTGTAATTTATTTAGTAGGATGACATTTCCTTATTACCTAACATTTATATTTATATCTATATTATATTATATTTTTATCTTCTAAAAATTCAGAAGTACTATAGTAACACTTGTTTATAAGTAGCTGCTTTAATTTTTTTTCAAATGGTTTTTCGTTCTTAATGTTTTTTATATATTCGGGTAATTTATTATATACTTTTATAGACATGGCAAATGGGCTGGATGAATGAGATTTTAGTTTTGAAGTTGGTAGCACTAGCTTGTTTCTCTGTCTTAGATTCCTAGATATGATCTCATCGCGTTTTGTGTACAAGCTTGGATTTTTTTTGACAAATTTGCATAGTTCCAAAATATAGATACAGGGCAGACTTAAAATGTTATAGTCTTTATATAACATATAAAATTCTCCACACAACTGCCGTTTTTAAATTAAAGCGAGCGCGCACCTGGAGCGCGTGGTGGTGTGGGAAGTGTGGATGTAATGATGCACGCCGAGTGAACATGTGCGTGTGCGCAGGGACCGCGTGGCGTGCGTGTGGGCGGAGGCGAGCGCGCACCTGGAGCGCGTGGTGATGTGGGAAGTGTGGATGTAATGATGCACGCCGAGTGAACATGTGCGTGTGCGCAGGGACCGCGTGGCGTGCGTGTGGGCGGAGGCGAGCGCGCACCTGGAGCGCGTGGTGGTGTGGGAAGTGTGGATGTAATGATGCACGCCGAGTGAACATGTGCGTGTGCGCAGGGACCGCGTGGCGTGCGTGTGGGCGGAGGCGAGCGCGCACCTGGAGCGCGTGGTGGTGTGGGCGGGCGCGCGCGGGCCGGCGGTGCTGACGCGTGCGCTAAGCGCGCTGCTGCGCACGTGCGCGCGCCTCATGCGCTGCGAGCACTGCGCCGCGCAAGTGCTGCACCACCTAGCTCTGCTCTTCCGCCTGCCCTACAAGCTCTTTTACCAGCAGGCTGATGTTGTGAGTATGCCATCATTTATGTTTAAGTTTTGATTATTGCTAATTATGTGATTAAAATAATTATGCATACAATAATCGTTTAAATAACAATATAAAAGATCATATCAATGTATTTGAAGTCAATTAAATACGCGTTATTAAGGATAACTCAGAAACTACCTATCTGATATAACTGATAGGATCAGGCGTTACTTTGCGGAAATCCATTATAATAAAGATGTTAATAGTTACTTTGCAACCATCCGCTAAATTAAATAAAATGATGTGTCTTCCCTAGTTTGAAGAGCACCTCCCGCCCTCCCTCAATTGCGTGCACTAATCCCGTCACCACTAATCCCAGCAACACTACTCCCAACACCATTACTCCCAACACCACTATTCTAGGAAAGTCACACCATCGACGATAATACGACACGTGTTTCGCCTCTGACGAGGCATCTTCAGGTGATGTTGACTCTACCGCAGCTGACCGCTAAGTCAGCCTTCTTTTCTTACTACTGCTGACCGCTAAGAATTATCGTGCTTACCGAGGCGCGGGGGTAAGGCACCGCCAACTTCCTTACTGAGCAGCTACTGGGAATTTCTTGACGGAAAAACGGCGCATGTGCGTGCGTGCGTGCGTGCGTGTGTATTTGTGTGCGTTTTATATACTCGATGGTAACTAGCGAATAGCGATGTAGCCAAAAATGGTAAAGCACATTAAAAATATCTTTACAAAAACCTATTCACGCGTGCCTAGAAGTCACCCACATTATAATCAGATGGAAACACAAATACTAGCTATTCCACTCCACTAGGTATTCTACTCCTTCATTATACACATTATAAACGACGAAGCAATCCACTTGGTCCGAATGCGCAGTACGAAGGGATAAAATCATACAATTCCTATGCATCACCGAAATGTAAAGCTAATAAATAAAACGATGATAGGTATGTGAAGCTAATAACCAGAACTTGAACCAAACTGTCCCAATAATCACTTGTTTTTGTGCGAATATCGTCTATATTTATTGGAATAAGGATAGGATTGTGAGTGGCGTGACGTGGTGACGCTTGTGCAGATATCGTGCGGGCTGTACGAGCTGGTGAAGACGTCCGCGCAGAACGTGCACAGCGGCGAGGAGTGGGAGCTGCTGCTGGCGCTGCTGGTGGCCGCGGGTGCCGGCGCCTGGCCGCCCGCCGACCTGCCCGCGCGCGCCCCGCGCCCGCACAGCTGTGAGTACACCAACAACCTAATTATAATAATAAAAATGTCCTGAATGTGTTAGCCCGAGACTACTATGGATACGAATGAAACTGGCCTTTAGGAAGTTGTTGGTTCTAGAGGTCTACTCTCCAGACATGTCTAAGCCCAAATATCTTAGAGCAGTTTTGGAAGATGGTAAAGATGGTGTTAATGAAATGTAAGGAAAATGAAAATATTTATTTATTATTAGGAGATTTTAATGGAAGGGTTGGGGTGAAGAGGCTTGGTTATGAAGGGATATTGAGAACGTTTAGTGATGAAATTATAAATGAGAATGGTAAAAGCCTGCATACCGTATGTGTGGAAAGGAATCCTTTTGTGACGAACACTTTCTTTCGTCATAAGAAGATTCACATGTATACATGGAAAAGAGGTGATGATAGAAGCATGATAGATTTCATAATTGTGGATGAAATAATAAGGAGCGCAGTTGGTTTACCCAAGGGTTTACCGGGGATCCAAAGTATAGGGACGGATCATTACTTAGTTTTATGTCGAATTAATGGTCTTTTCAGACATTGGCGGCATCGGACATCTGTGCCTACCACTGCGTTATAGCGTATTCGAACAGAGAGGTTACAAAATGAAGGTGTGAAAAACAAATACAAATGTAGACTGAAAGAAAATATAAGTGGTTTAGATGAATTCTATATGAATGAGTTAGACTTGGAGAATGTATGGCATCATTTTGAGAAAGGTTTGGTGGATGCAGCTACCGAAGTATGTAGTGTTAGTAAGAGAACGAATGAAAGGAATAATAATACGTTATGGTAGGATGATGCGGTACTTATGGAAGTTGAAGCAAAGAAGAGAGCATGGCTAGATATGCTAGCAACCAAGGCTGGTAATTCTGGCGATACGAATGATGATATTGAAAGAAAAAAGGCAGTCTAGAGGTATAAATAAGAGAGTAAAAGAAATAGTTGAAAGGAAAAAGCAAGAAAGTACTGATAAGAATCATAGAAGACTAAAAGTGGAAACACTTCAGGGATGCATGGCACGCATTGGTGGTCGCGTTGATGCTTCATAAACATTTTAGCACCAATGAGTCGGTGCCATTTTGTTTGTTCAATGACCCGGTTCATATGCAGTAGTATATTAAGTCTATGGATGTACGATTGAATTTTTATTATGAATTTTTACTCCAGCTTTCTAAATGCTGTGTTTTAGACTTGGTACATTTGTACTTAAATGGTTAATCACATATTATAACGTGGTAGAGCCACGCTGCAGCTATATTATAGTTGTAGCACGAATGGGTTCGGTTCGACTGAGGTGGGACCACGCTCTCACAGAATACCAGCGTAAAATAGCAGCGTAACGCTGCTGTGTTTCGTATAGCGAGTGTAGAGTACCGGAGACCCTTTTTACGTTTTTTTTAAGAACAGCCTTTTTACTGGAATCGAGGTATTCCATGTTAGTCCTCAGGGGTGACAACGCATTTGCATTTTCATCCTTAATTGAGGATAAATGTGGATGTCTAATGGGCCACAGCATCCACTTACCATCAGGTGGACTGTATGCTCGTTTGCCTGTTTGCCATCCAATGCTATTAAAAACAATCATCATCTGACTGCAAAGCAATGGAATTTAAAATAATTACAAATATGTAAAAATGCTAATTTTAACCTCACTCAATATTTTATCAAAATGTCCTTAATAGGCAAAATTACACCTTGCATTTAGCCTTATTCAACTTAGTAATAATTTTTTATTTTTAGGCTTCCGTAGCTAACGAACGTCACGTCACGAACACTAAGCTCGTAACAATATTCCGCTAATCGTATGAAATAAATATTTTTTAAATAGAATTAGAATGACAAACGAGTACACAGTCCACCTGATGGTAAGTGGATTGCTATAGCATATTTTCACAAAATATTATCTTTCTAAAAACAACTAAAAATAAAATAAACTGAGATTTTCAACCAGCTGGCCAAGCATAGCAACTATGGCAAATAGCCTAAATACATATAATGTTGTAACATTAACATAAAGGTGCAATAAGGGAAAAACTGCAACATGCAATTTATTTTTTGTAAGAATAAAGTATATAGCAGAATTGCAAAATATATTTAAGGAAAGTTCACAACATCTTTACAATAAATTAGTTCTCTTTGAAGGATTCTAAAAAAATGTTATCGTAGTCTCGTTTTAAACCTTTTTAGCACACGTTTCTTATCGCAGTTTGGTTTGTTTTAGTAAGTAACATTTAATTTGTGTTACACACCATAACATGCATATCATTTTTGAAGAACAGCGTGTCTTTCAGCAATTTTAAATTAACAATTTTTGAAGTTTATGTATGAACTAAGTGGTAGGGCCAAATTTCTGTCTGAGAGGTCGTCGTCGGGTATATATCATTCTCTTACCTAGTACCGGTATACATACAGGCTGTACGGAATTCCATCTCAGTCCGTAGAAGTGACGACGACCTTATTTATTTCAAGTTAGCTTCAAGTTCCCAATGGCTGTAGTAGTCACTTACCATCGACATCGTCAGGTGGACTGTAAACTAGTTGGATACTTCAGTTTTATAAAAAAAAAAACTTTATCAAATAAACACTAATATAGTTAACATTTTTTATTGCATGTGTTTTTGGACCTTATATTAGATACCCAGACACGATATTTCAGTATTTATTTCTTTAGTATAGCCATTCAGCGTGAAAAAGCAGCCAGCTTTATTGGCACGATACCACGGGGAGTAGGACTGTATGATGTTTTAGTTTTTCTTTATTATAGTTTTTATATTGTATGTATTTCAATGTTTTATCATGTGCGTGTGCGTGTGCGTGCGCGTGCGCGTGCGCAGGCGTGCCGTGCGCGACGCTGCGTGCGTGCGTGCGTGCGTGCGTGCGTGTGTGTGTGTGTCGTTATCTCTTAATGATAAAATAATTTATCTTTAAAATATTGATCTGTTATGGTGAAAGATAGCTTTTAAGTATATGCGACATATTACAGATACAGAGTTCTGCGCATAATTTGAGTGGCTTGAAGGAACATGAAATAATGAAGTATTAAATAGTAATTAGTTGTAAAGCGTAAAAAATTAATTTGGAGCTATCAATTTTATTATTGGCGATATCGTGTAGAAACATCTGTACCAGAGTGCGGCGACCTTTTAACTGTATTAATTTATGAAAATAACATTTTTTTTTGTTAATTTTTACTTTGAATATAATCGGCACCTTTCCTACCTACCTCACTGATATATCTTTACAAATAAAATTTATAACTTAAAATGCTTGGAAATCACAAGTTTATCATTTGTTTCAGCTTCTAGTCGTTCAGAAGGCTCCGACGACGAGATCGAAAGGCGACCGACCAGCGTCTCATCGGAAAGTGAGCTTTCGCATTCCCCACAAACACAGGGTTGGATTTTGGTGAGTTAAATACATGCTATTAAATAAAAAAATTAAAGTAGTAGATAGTATGTGGAATAGTACATAGGTAATCAACATAAATCTTTGATTTTTTTAAGCGGATAGTGCTTTCTTTATATTGATGTTAAGAACAACTTTATAATTCAACAAATGAATTATGCTCCATCAAATCTAAGAAATACGTTTTGTCAGTAGTAACATTTATTGGACTAGGCATTCCAATTGAAAAATCGCTACCTACTATATTTAATTCTTAAGAGTAAAATGCTATATCGATTCCTTAGAGTTTGCAATCATTTACAGTTTTATCTAGATAAATATTAGAATATTTTAGAAACAGATAACAAAACACAAAATTTATCACTTTTATTAAATAAAACTTTCAATAATAACATTTCACATTACTACTTAAATAATACGGCTGTAGGTATGGAGTGTAGAAGTAAGAAGTACAGACTGTGTATTAAAAAGTGTCCATAAAACATTTAAATAAGGGTGGCGCCACTATATAGCTACGGGGTAAATTTTAAAGAACGCACCGAAAAATATTATTGGGATAGACGACTTTTTCGAGGTTATATTTACTAAATAAAATTATTTTAGATTTTAGAGCTACTGAGCAGTTTAGCAGCACACTTAAACTGTCGACAACTGTTAAGTTCATTTCATCCCAGTAGCTACTCCAGCGCTGTTGTGGAGAGTTTTTGAACTGTTGTTTACTGCTTTCAGATACCACTTTTTCAACTATTCTACTATGGGAGTTGGTACTTCTTACTATTACACTCCATAGCTGTAGGTTTATGTCAGCGGCACATCGTGCTTTGCGTGTTGCCATGTTTTATCAATGAATATAAAGTTGTCTCAGTGAGGGCAAATAATCTTCCGCTGACCAGAAGAACTGACTGAAGAGCTGACTGAAGTTAAGTTTTTTTTACACAATATCGTTTAATTGAGAAATTTATCAATTTCTATAGAATTATATTAATAAACAAAACAATGCCTCAGTGGTTTACTCTTAATTTTTTCTGCTTTTAGGAATCACACATATTCCTTAAAAGGTTGTTTATTTATTTTAATCAAATTAATAAAATTAACCTTTAAATTTTTGAAACAAATTAACTTCCCCGCTATGAAATCTGTCAAATATTCCGACTCATCTTTAAGTGGTGCCGCCCTAATGGCAAAAAAGTTGTGGATCATTGGTTATAATTTTAATTAGTCGTAAAAAATATTTTTTACTTTCATACCTCTAAATAATTTTGAGTTTGTAATTTTTTTTGTATCGAAAGCCAATTTCACATCATTCATATGGTTCTCAATGACTATAAACTATAATTGTACAATTCCCAGAAATTATAAAAAAGTTAGACTTGTTTAATTCATGATTTATATAATTTATGCAACTCTTAAAAATAGAATAAACAAATAGTAAATTAAAAAATGTAAAACACGTTAAAAAGTTCGATTATTTGAATAATACTTCCGATTATTCTCATTACCGTGAATTTAAAGAAGAAAGAAGCGGGTCCCACCAGTTCAATTGAGAAGGCGTAAAAAAAGGTCGTACTAGGTTCGCGAAGATATAGAGTGGCCTGGACCGCTGGACAAACATCTGCTACAGCTGCTATCAAAGTGGACAGTTTGTCGACATTCGACACAGTGAACAGTGCTAAGACTCAGTGAGCAGTGAACTTGGAGGGTACCTTTTTTCGTCCTCGGAGTGTCACACAGTGAACAAGCATAATGGAGAGTCTACTTCAGCGCCAACAGGAGATTGTTGAAGCGATCAAGAAGATAGAAAGAAACTTCAGCAAGGATTCCGCAACACGCAAGACTCGTAAGTACTTGAACGAGCGACTCGATGCTCTTGATAAACTGTGGGCCGAGTTCCAAGTAAACAACCATAAGTTATCCGACTATGAGAATGACGCTGATCCTTACTTTACGGAAAATCAGTACCAACAAGCAAGAACGTACTTTGATACGGTGCGCATCAAGATATCGACCTGCCCCCCTGCACGTGAACCTGTTTCTCCGGCACCAGAAGTGCTGCCTAAGATCGTAGCGACACCGGAGCCGACTCCATGTACGGCTCCACCTAAACTACAGCCGAAAGTCACTCTGCCATCGACGTCAAATGCAACAACGGTCTCGCCTACAGATCGTCGCCAGGCAGATGAATTGGTATCTCTGCAAAGAACCAACTGCAGAGCTTTCCATCGACAAGTGAATAGCTTGCGACTTGACGAGATACGCGACAAGTGGGAGCTGGAAGATGAATTGCGTAACATTCAAACGCGCTGGGCTGCAATCGACGCTTTGCATTTACAAATCGATCACATTCTCCAAGGTTCGGATACGCAGTATGACGATGAGTTTTATGCTTACGAAAACTCGTACAAGAGCATCAAGAAGGCTTTGAATCTCAAGCTCGCGTCTACATTACATCTTCAGCAGTCGACACCACATATCGACATACCTACATTCACGGGCAAGTATACACAATGGCCTACATTCTATGATCTCTACGCCCCAACTTGCTCACGAAAACCCAGAAGATGCAGCACCTGAAAGGTAAACTACGAGGAGATGCTGAGCGACTTATTCAGCATCTAAACATCTCGGCAGACAACTACAATACAGCGTGGGAATTGCTGACACACAGATATAACAACCCCCAGCTGTTATTTACAAAACAGATTGAGATTTTTCTCAATCAACCCGTCGCTCACAAGCAATCAGCGTACGAGATTAGACGCCTCTACGACACGTCCATGGAATGTATCCACGCCATACAGAACCTCGGTATAGATACAAGTACCTGGGATCCGTTGCTAGTACACATCATAGCGAAGAAGCTAGATGCTGAAACATACAGCGACTACAAAGAGGCACGAAAATCGCCGCGAGACATACCATCGCTTTCTGAGCTAATGGACTTCCTAGAGAGCAAATTCGACGCCTTAGAGCCAATAGGTAAAAAGGAACGAGAGATCTCAACATCATCAAATAGATCTTATCCTCCGAAAATCATCAACAACAAACCATATAAGCCTCAGTTTCAACATGCTGGTGGTCATCGCTATGGAAAATTCCCGAACAGAGAATTTCAAGCTGTTGCGACATGCTCGTCAATTTGTCCGATTTGCAACAATAATCACTACCTATACAAATGCAGCAAATTCATCAAGTTTACACCGGACGAGCGGCTAATGGCCGTCAAGAAACACAATATTTGCCCCAATTGTCTGTACGCACACACCGATAACATATGCACGTCGACGAAAAGATGCAAAGTCTGTCAAAAGGGTCATAACACAATGCTACATGACGTATACGCAAATATGAACCTTAATCAACAGACGGTAAACCGGGCGGCCGACGCGCCCGCCGGGTCGTTATCGTACGTGCCTACAGCTCCAGTTACGCAAAGACCTCAAGTTTCAACGCGATCCGAAAACAAACATTGCGTGAATCACGTTGCTACAGATGACGAAGAGATCCTGTTGACAACATTATCTGTCAGGGTCAAAGCTTCTGACGGGACTTACATCACTTTGAGATGACTTTTAGACCAAGGCTCTCAGATTTCACTCATTTCTGAGAACGCCGCTCAGATGCTGGGCTTGCCTCGACAACGGTACCACGCTTCTGTATCTGGCATTGGAAATGGATCAAAGTACGGCAAGGGAGTCGTCATGCTCGAATGTCAGTCTATCTACCAAGACTATGAGTTTACAACTCAAGCATTAGTCATCAATCACGTCATCAACAATCTGCCAACAATTTATAATTCTTTACAATAAATTCAGTGTTAGATCGACTTTCATTGGGTTTGTTTGGTACACTAACTTTCCCTTGCATCCCATCTGCACTCATTCATCTTATATACTGTATACACCTTACAAATAAAGTTATGAAGGCATGCGACATAAGAGATTACTCGACGAACACAGCTAGAATAAAAATACGAAATTGGTTGCTTACGCTTAGTTACGAACAAACAGAAAAGCTGTTTTAAACATTGTCATAGTAGCTACGTGCCCGATATTGATATTGTTATTATAGCAGTAATTGCAAATTCAAAATACAGTATTAACAAATTATAATATCTATATCTATATCTATATATATATATATATATATATATATATATATATATATATATATATATATATATATATGTGTGTGTGTGTGTGTGTGTGTGTGTGTGTGTGTGTGTGTGTGTGTGTGTGTGTATTACGATGTATGTATGTATGTTTGAGTATATATGGATGTATATATATAATATATTTAATGTGTGTATATATATATTTTAAGTATATGTTTATATTTATAGACCATAAATAAATTGGAGTACATATTTAAAGGGAAAGCTTTGTAAAGTCAACCGTGCGCAAATTTCTGTTTTTTGTTAATATGTGTATATGGCTCTCACGATACAGGTCTGCGTGCCTAGTGTGAGAACCACTGCTAAATTATTTGTAAAGGTGCTAACTGTTAAATAAAATATTTTAATTTTTTCATTTTTATTTGTCATGGATGTGTATCATCCTTCTCAAGATATGGATTGATTGTTTGGGGAAATTCCGTTCATGCGGAAAAAGCATTTAAAATCCAAAATTATTATACCATTATTTAAAAAACTAAAATTCTACCATTGCCTTGTCTGCACATACTAGAAATAAGTGTTTTTGTGATAAAGCATCCAAATTTATTTCCATCATACAATGAAGTTTTGGTAAAAAAAGACAACCGAATTATAGGTAAATTATATACAGGCTGTCCGATAAAGAATTGATAATACTGGGGCGCTTAATAATAGTACAGGTATCAGGTGTTCAAATAAAAATACAAAAAAATATTCAAAGTGGTGAACCTGAACCTCTTTCTACCATTTTCAACACTTCTTTGACAACTGGATATTTCCCTCAAAATGGAAAGAAGCAAGGATTGTTCCTATTTTCATAGCTGGCAATAAAGAACTAATAATAATAATCATTAACTATCGTCCAATCTCAATCCTATCTACTCTGCCGAAGACCTTTGAGCCACTAGTATTTCCTCACCTGTACAATCATATCAATACTTGTCAGCACGTGGAAAAAATAGAAGACGAGTACATGAGACATTGTGATCTTGATTTCAGTTTTATTATAAATGTCGCTGATACGTCGTAATCAGACATTTCTGAAATGAGTATTGTGTGCTTACGAAATATTGTGGTTTCTCAATAAAATTCAATAAAACTTTTTCCCTTTTTTATGTATGTTTATAATTTCAATTATATTTTCTAGAAATCTGCTTTTACAAAGTTTTACATTTTTAAATTGTAAATTAAGCGTTTCCAAACTTATTTTTAAAATTCCGTGTTACTGCCTGCTATAGGTGAAGAAGGAAACGGGTATGGGCGGCGATGGCATCGGTGCGCTATGGAACTCGGATATAGAAAATGTAAAATTGCGCGCTCACCGGAGTTCGGCGTTGGCGCGGTGTGCGGAGGCCTTGGCGCTGGTCGTGCGAGACGTGGCGCACGTGACGCCGCACAACTGCAGAGCAGCCGTACGGGCAGTGAGACTGCTGGCGCGTGCCACGCTGCACACTCACGGTACGTACTGTCCGCACGTGACGTATTGCACGCACGTGACGCCACACACTGCAGAGCAGCCGCGCGGGCAGTGAGACTGCTGGCGCGTGCCACGCTGCACACTCACGGTACGTACGCACGCACGTACGCACTGCACGCACGTGACGCCACACACTGCAGAGCAGCCGCGCGGGCAGTGAGACTGCTGGTGCGTGCCACGCTGCACACTCACGGTACGTACTGCACGCACGTGACGTACTGCACGCACGTGACGCCACACACTGCAGAGCAGCCGCGCGGGCAGTGAGACTGCTGGCGCGTGCCACGCTGCACACTCACGGTACGTACTGCACGCACGTGACGCCGCACAACTGCAGAGCGGCCGTACGTGCAGTGAGACTGCTCGCGCGCGCCACGCTGCACTCACGGTACGTACTGCACGCACGTGACGTATTGTACGCACGTGACGCTACACACTGCAGAGCAGCCGCGCGGGCAGTGAGACTGCTGGCGCGTGCCACGCTGCACACTCACGGTACGTACTGCACGCACGTGACGTACTGTACGCACGTAACGCCACACACTGCAGAGCACCCGCGCGGGCAGTGAGACTGCTGGCGCGTGCCACGCTGCACACTCACGGTACGTACTGCACGCACGTGACGTACTGTACGCACGTGACGCCACACACTGCAGAGCAGCCGCGCGGGCAGTGAGACTGCTGGCGCGTGCCACGCTGCACACTCACGGTACGTACTGCACGCACGTGACGTACTGCACGCACGTGACGCCACACACTGCAGAGCAGCCGCGCGGGCAGTGAGACTGCTGGCGCGTGCCACGCTGCACACTCACGGTACGTACTGTCCGCACGTGACGTATTGCACGCACGTGACGCCACACACTGCAGAGCAGCCGCGCGGGCAGTGAGACTGCTGGCGCGTGCCACGCTGCACACTCACGGTACGTACTGCACGCACGTGACGTACTGCACGCACGTGACGCCACACACTGCAGAGCAGCCGCGCGGGCAGTGAGACTGCTGGCGCGTCGGCCACGCTGCACACTCACGGTACGTACTGCCCGCACGTGACGCCGCACAACTGCAGAGCGGCCGTACGTGCAGTGAGACTGCTGGCGCGCGCCACGCTGCACACTCACGGTACGTACTGCGCGCACCTGTAGTACTGCCGCACGTGACGTACTGCGCGCACGTGACGTACTGCACGCATGATATGTACTGTACCCAAGTAACGTACTGTACGCACGTGATACCTTCTACAGTGTACCCTATAGAACCTAATCGAGTTAACTTCGAACCTGGCGCCTATGACGTCATATCGGCACTTCTACGGTGTACAGTGTATGGCTATATAATACTAACGCGACGGGATAAATGTGAGCGGGTAAGTGGGAAAGGCTGCGCATTCACGCGAGTTACGGAGTTAACTCGATCACACAGTACTTGGTAGAACCGCGATCCAGCTATATTATGGCTGTAGCACGGATGAATCGGCTAGACCGGGGTGGGACCGCGTTCTCACAGATATCCGCATGAAATAGCAACTTAAAGTTACAATGTTCTATCTTAGTCCTAAGGATGACATCGCATCTGCATTTTAATTCCTAATCGAGGTTTTAGATATACATGTCTATGGGCTACAGCATGTACAATCAGATCAACTGAATGCTCGTTTGTTACTATTATTCTATTAAAAAAATAACTATAGCGTTTTATAAAAATGTAACTTCCTCATTTCAAATAGATGCTTGTTCTCTTTTCGTTCTTCGTTTATGGATCACAATGGCTTTCGATTAAAAGGCAATGTATCATCTCGTGTCAACCATAAATAAAATCCCAGAGCGACGACGCGCAGCAGCGTCCGAGGTGCGAAAAGTCTGGTACTGCGATCGTCATATACCGCTTGTGCAACGTGACGATTAAAACAAGTCTTACATGCTACGAATGACGTCACGACCAGCATCCATGGTGCAGTGGGTTATAGCGCTAAGGGTCTCAGGTTAGAATCCCACAGCCCACAGATAATAATTGTTGCGGGTTTGGTTTTTGTGAAATGTAAGTACGTAAACGGACCCCACGATACAGGAGAAAATTATAGTGTAAGTGTAAAGTAACTTCTACTTTTATTAAAAGAAAAAAGGAAATGGAATTGGAATGTTACGGAATTTTACGAGCCAAAAAAAGAAAAATCGGACGCTATTACCACTATCACATGTTGTTTTTAAGCGAATCAATGTTTCTACATAAAAATTCGGTTAAAACTATGTTTCGTTCAATAGGTAAGAAGAGCAACCGAAGTGGTGAAGCCAGACGCACTCGCGGTTCCCGGCGCAACAACGAGGACTCCAGCGATGAGGAGCTCGACACTCTGGACCAATACCACATGGTCAGCATACAGGTTCGATATCATCTGTGCTTGCTTCTCATTATTTCGCTGGCGCACTTATACATTGTCCGTAGTTGAATTGATTTGCTTTATTTTTAATACTCTTCATCTTCATCATCATCATTACAGCCTGTCAAAGTCGTAGACGTAGGCTTTCCCACATATATTACCACATAAGAGATAATAATACATAATTGCCGCGCGTGGCAGGCAGATTGGTAACCGCAGTATTTATTCTTCTATTTAGGAGGATGTCCATTTTTAATTACTTAACTAGCGATCCGCCCCCGCTTCGCACTTGTGATTTTTGGATCTCGACAACAGCGCCACCTGCCATCCAATTGTGAATATAAATTGTGAAAATAATTTTCCGTTGTACGCAATTGATTTTTATATACAGGATTATTTTGAAATAACCAGCCAAACTTTACAGATAAGGCTTAGAAGAAGTAACATAGGCAAATGGTGAAGAAAAATAATTTAAAATTAACTTTTTATCTTTTAAATTCAAAATGCACTATTTTAACTGCTTTTAATGCGCACGCATACATTCGTAGGGGTCCATCAGTAGACAAAAATGTTGTTGCCCATAAATCGTATATAATTAGGGACGATTACAAATGAAATTAAAAACCTTATTTACTCGTATTTTCATAAACTGCAATAACGGTATATTATTCTTTATATATTTGAACGTAAGTTTAAAATTTGGCTACTATGAAAAATAATCTTATATGGAGATATACATATTATAATCGTGTTATAGATTATCTTCTTAAATACTTTCTCCTACAATAGAACTGTACGAGTAAACCCGTACATTTTTATATGTTAGCGTAATTGGAGCGCGAGCTCGTGTTTGACGTCATTTTAATGCATTGTACATATTATGTTTTCTTTTATAATAAATTCAGTACCATTCGCAAGGCGTTACAGTTAACAGTGTTTTATTTTGCATCCTACAATCTCAGTGTTTGAGTGGTACTCCTGAACAGCATTTAATCTTGCATTGCATTGCATTACATATTTGCATATTTACGTACACATTTTGGTCCTTCGACTATTACCTTAGTGTTTAGTGTTTTGGTACAGTGGCGAATCGGTTCCTCTGGCCTCCCACAAGCGGGTCTCACCAGTCGAATTGAGAAGGCGCATACATACTGTGCTGAGGACACAAATGCACTAAGTGGACCCGACGTTTGGAAGTTACAGTTCCATCACTGTTTACTTGCAGCTTACATATTCAATTAATAATTTATCATTATGCAAGCCTTACTGCAGAGACAGTTCGAAATCGTAAACGAGATCAAAAAGCTTAACACCAATTTCAAAAAAGATCCGAAGTCAAGGAAAACTAAGGAATACATAGAGAAGAGAATCAAAGATTTGGATGATCTTTGGCTCGAATTCAAAAGCAACAACGAACAATTATCGACAGTAGCAGACAAGACTCATGAATATTTTACAAAGGACATTTTTCTTGTGTATGAACATTTGTACAGCAAAACGCGGGAAATGATGACTGTGTATGAGTATGAATCAAAGGATGAATCGACGAAGGATAATACCACCCAGGTTGACCTTGAGAAAGCTAAAGAATTATTAAGTTTGCAGCGAACTAACTTTCGAGCATTTTCGAGAATAACTGAGAACTTAGACATAGAAAACATCGAAGAAAAATGGGAGTTAGAGTATGAGTTAAGAAACCTTCAAAATCGTTGGAGCAACATCGAAGAAACTCACTTGAAGATTGACAATATTCTCGAAGGTTCCGATTTAGAGTACGACAAGGAATATGAGGAGATGGAAGTCAAGTTTAAAAACATGAATAGGTTACTGAACAAAAAATTAACATCTCAAAACTATGCACACCTCACAACACCAAAAATAGAAATACCTACGTTTTCTGGGAATTATATCCAATGGAGTACATTTTTTGACCTGTTTAAAGAAGCCGTTCACAACAATCCTTCTATGACTAAGGCACAAAAAATGCAGCACTTAAAGGGCAAGCTCAGAGGTGAAGCCGAGCGCCTAATACAACACTTGCATATATCTTCAGAAAACTATGACTCCGCGTGGAAATTATTAGTGCATCGCTATGATAATCAACAAGTCCTCTTTACGAAGCACATTGAAACTCTTTTAAATCAACCTAACATCCAAAAACAATCATCAACGGAACTCAAACGACTTCACGACGTATCAATGGAATGCATTCATGGTGTTTTCAATATGGGGATTGACACTAGCTCTTGGGATCCGATTCTGGTACACCTTATAGCAAAGAAATTAGATACAACAACTTACAGTGATTATATGGAGTCAAGAAAAGCCCCACGGGAACTACCTGATTTGGATGAGTTTATGGCGTATTTGGAAGCCAAATTCATAGCCCTAGAGCCAATGAATAGGAAAGAGCAGACAGTCGAAACATTTAATTTTAATAAAAATAACCATGTATCAAAATTTAAACAACGTAATTACCAAAAACCTGCAATTTATGAGAATAGAGATGCATCATTCAAGAAATCGTTTTACGTAAACTCCAAATTTATACCTACTTGTCCTTTATGCAAACAAAATCACGCATTGTTTCAATGTAAAAGATTCGAAGTCATGCCACCGGAAATGAAACTACATACCATTTCGAAACTACACATATGCGAAAACTGTTTATACGTGCATAAATATGAATGCAATTCTGAAAAACGGTGCAAGGAGTGCAACAAGAAACATAACACCTTATTACACGACGTTTATATTACAAAGGCGGCTAATAATGCAAGTTCGGCGAACATGACGACTACGACCTCGAAGTCGCAGGGCACGAAACCACATGTACAATCGAACCACGTGGCTGGAAATGATGAAGAAATATTGCTTGCCACTATCAAGATGCAAGTAAGGGCAGCAGATGGCTCTTACATCATACTGCGCGCACTTCTGGACCAGGGATCACAAACGTCCCTTATATCCGAAAATGCAGCTCAAAGGCTGGGGCTGAAACGTCAAAACTTCAATGCATCTGTCACCGGTATCGGTACTTCGCCAAACAAAAGCCGAGGAAAAGTATTATTGCACTGTAAATCATTATCGACCGATTATGCATTCTCTACAGAAGCTTTAATAATGTCCAAAGTTATTAACTGCCTACCTGTGACGTCATTCGAGAACAAAAATTGGCCACACATACAACACTTGCAATTAGCGGATCCTGAATACAATATATCGAAGCCTATTGATATTCTTTTAGACGCTAAAGTTTATGCTGAAATCATCATGGATGGGCTGTTAAAAGGTTCACCATGCCAACCAATAGCACAGCAAACACAAATGGGTTGGATATTGTCTGGTTCTACGACGAAAACATTCAACTGTTATTTTACTATCAATAATATCGAAGACATTTGCAATTATTGGGAAATGGAAGACATATCGGAACATGAACGCTCATTAACTTTAGAAGAGCAATTTTGTGAAGATTATTATGTCAAAACGACTAAAAGATTATCAAGTGGAGTGTATGAAGTACGTTTACCCATGAAGAAAGGCTTTGAAAGGCAATTAGGTAACTCAAAACTAAAGGCAGTCGCACAGTTCAAGCAATTAGAGCGAAAGCTAGGAAAAGATCCGCAGCTATGTGAAAAGTACAACCATTTCATGAATGAGTATATTGCAATGAACCATATGAAACCGGCAGTGGAGACTAAATCTCTAGAATGTTATTTACCACATCACGGCGTCCTAAAATTTGACTCTAACACTACCAAATTGCGAGCTGTTTTTAATGCATCGGAAAAAACATCGACTGGCTTTAGCTTGAATGACTTAATGGAGTGCGGCCCTAAACTGCAACGTGATATACTGGAATTATTATTAAGTTGGCGTGCTTACAAATACGTATATACAGCAGATTGTGAAAAGATGTATCGTATGATCAAGGTACAAGAGGATGACCAGCAACTCCAGAAGATTATATGGCGGAACGAACAAGGCACTATGCAAGAATTTCAATTATGCACCGTCACATATGGTATGAAAGCTGCACCTTACTTGGCTCTCAGAACGATGCAGCAGTTAGCAAGTGATGACGCTGACGTTTACCCTATAGCAGCTGAGATCTTGAAGAAGAGATTCTATGTTGATGATTTGATATATGGTAGCAACAAGATCGAGGAAGCAAAACAAGCGCAACGCCAATTAATTGATATATTACGAGGAGGCGGTTTCAACTTGAGAAAATGGTCCAGCAATGAACCCAGACTCCTGGAAGATTTATCTAACGACCAAATTAATGTCTCTACTGTCAACTTCAACGACAGCTCATCATCATCAACTAAGGCATTAGGGTTGCGTTGGCATCCATCCTCTGATATTTTTACATTTGACAATAAGATTGAGAACACGCAAAAGCCCGACACAAAACGCTCCATGCTGTCAAACATATCGAAGCTTTTCGACCCGCTCGGTTGGTTATCTCCGAGTACAATTAAAGCAAAACTGCTATTTCAACGACTTTGGAGTGAGCATACGGAATGGGACCAATTATTGTCACCAGATATTCAACACGAGTGGAGTAAACTAAAGGAAGAATTAAAGAACATAAGTAAAATTAAAATTCCGAGATGGGTCGGCAATACTCAATATTTAGTACAGCTACACGGCTTCGCAGATGCCTCAGAAAGGGCTTATGCGGCCGTAATTTACATCAAAACCTATAATGAGCATAAGAAACCCAGGATACATCTCATAGCAGCGAAAACAAAGCTAGCCCCACAGAAGAAACGTATTACATTGCCACGGCTGGAATTATGTGGAGCTGTTTTGTTATCTAAATTGATGCAAAAGGTTATTGTTTCGATGTCATTAGCTCAGGACAAATTACAAATTCATGGCTGGACGGACTCAATGGTTGTCTTGGGCTGGATTCATGGCAATACTGCAAGATGGAAAACATACGTGGCGAACAGAGTGAATGAAATAATTAAGGTCATACCATCATCCTGCTG